ATCTGGCGCATACGATTCAGATGCACACGTTGAGGAGTTCGATGATGCTTCCTTCTTCGATGATTGAGGAGGTGTTTAATGGATCAGGATTCGACTGATAGTCAGACCTTTTCCGTATTTTCTACTTTCTTTTGGGCGGCATTATTATGCATGTCGCAGAAATTATCAAGGCATTTGGGGAAATTGACGTTATATATCGAATGCGCGCTTTTTTATACCATTTGCCTTTTTCTCTCTTCTGCCACTGCCGCAATGTCTAGATTGATACCCCTTTACTCTCTGTTTTCTCGCCATTCTCGCACACTATCTGCACTTGCAACGTAATGAAACGAAACACAACAAATAACCATCTTCATTCATTTTCTTGACGGATCAGATTGACAATTGGTTTCTCAAATTTCCCCATTCGAGGAGAAGATTGATAATCAGAAAAGTTACTTATTTTTTCATCCTTTTTTAGCAATTTTATTTCCTTTGTTCTGTCACTTTGCATAGCCGGTTAATTGGAGACGAGAGAAGGAGGGATTTTCGCTCGTTTCGCTCATGAGGAAGAAACACAAGAGAAGAGAAGAGAAGAGATAGGAGAAGCAGAGAAGTTGGAATCTTCGATGCATACGCGTGACGTCGTTTCTGGGGAGGTCTACAGATAAATTAGTATTACTACTGTATGCAGACGATCGTTGGGATCGTGTCGTGTCGTGTCGAGGAGATATTAGACAGTTATAATTAATACTTTCGTCACGTTTTGAATCAAAGCTCCTCCCTCCCTGCTTATTTGCGTAGTAATGACCTACGGACTAAAAATAATTAATTAAATTCAAAAAAAAAAAATTTTTTTACCAAATCAAAGTTAAGTTTATTGCATAGATGTGCTTCTAAGGAATGCTATCAATATTTATAGTTGAGCAAAGTCTATATAATAACAAAACCCACGCCATGCCAATGATGTCATAATATAACGATAATTTTGATGTGTGATTAAGGAATGAACATTAAGTAGGTAGTGGGTAGGTAGTAGGTAGTAGGTAGTAGGTATATATACATATACATCAGTCAGTGTGCGTTAAATAAAATAAGAATTAAAAAAATCCGATCCGTAACCAAACACCGGGTCCTTTCGCCAACCGCTCCCGTCACCGAAAATAAACTCCGTCTTTTTCATCATGAGAATATGCGTGAACATGCGATGAGTGAGTTAGTGAGTGAGTAAGATAGCAGTTTAGTGTACACCGCAGGCGCTGACATCGACCTGGCGGGAAGTAGCGTCGACGCGGCCGAGGGCAACGGCCTGGCCGTTAGTCAGGGCGTTCATGGCGTCAAGGGCGATGTTGAAGCCGGCGGCGGCGTGGTCGATGGCGTAGACGTTGATGGTCTTGCCCTTGTAGCTTAGTTCCCAGCAGGTACCGCACTATTCGGGTTGTTAGCATTGTGTCTTGTTTTTGTTTAGGTGGTCTAAGAGATGAGGGAAAGAAAGGGAGAACATACGGAAGGAGAGTTCCAGCCGGCGATGGCGTCGGCGGCGCCGATGTACGTGCTTGGGATGTTGCCCTGTGTTTGCCAGCCGTAGCGCGTGATCAAGCCGTTGGCGCCGTCGGAGCAGGAGACGACTGTCAGGGAGCGGGATCGGTCATCATAGCCGGTGTCGTAGGAGACTGTTGCGTATTAGTTATCAGTTATCATAAGAAAATCAATACCCTATTTAGGTCCCTGGTAAGAGGGGAGGAGGGGTCGTACCTGTGACAGCCGAGGAGGCGACGGCAAGGGAAAGGAACTGGACAAGCTTGGAGAACTGCATTTTCGTATGAGGTTGAAGGTTGAAGTTGGGAATTTGAGGAGTGACTATTATGTCTTAAATATTATGTCTAGTGCGGAGAGGAAGAGAGAAGCGAGGATGAAATTTATTATAGAGTTGATGAGGATGTATTAGTATTTAAACTGCAAATGCTGCTGTGAATGGTGATTATAAGATGGCCGTGGAAAGACGAGTAGACGTTGTCCTTATATACATTTACCTGATTGCCTAACTTGGTAGTATCCTATTCTAAGGGTCTCGTATATCGTGGCTCCCGCTATTCGCGCTACGCTACTTTGTCTCTACGGTACGTTACTTACGAAGTTGAAGTTCGATGCTATCATACGTTGGTAACATGCTGCACCTCAGTGGAACCTAGGTTGGTTAACTAAACTACCTATGTAACAATTGATATTGTAGCCGACTCTTTAGCTATTAGCTTAAGGTACCTAGCTCAATGCAGGGCTCATTCATGTGCAGTGACGACAAAGATTATTGAGGTGAAGACTGTGTCATGCACTTGGTAACCTAGTAATCGGCTATCTGCTAAGTAAACAGAGGCTACATAAGAACAGGCAATAAAGACATATGATGGTAAGTCAGAAGCATTGTACCAGTATCGTGCAACATCGGCGGGTCTTGAATCCTCGTGTTTGTGCTGCTTGGAGGTTATGTGGGGAGTAGTTAATGCCGATCTCACTCGTATTTGGTGGTGCGGCTTGATTCTCTGCTGGGGCCGCAAGTCCGTGACTGGCTGGACATTGGCTAGACCATCTTCACTGACTCGGAGGGATACCATTAATAGCAGGCATGAGCAGTGCCCAGCCCTGCAGTGCAGTTTGAGGTCCCGTGCATCTGGGGCACGCTAACGGCAGTTGGGTAAAATGAGGAAAAGGAAATATGCGGCTTGCCAGCTCTTCGTTGATTCTAGAAACTTGTCTAGATGTTCAAAATTGTTGACAATTTGGACTCCGGAATTTGTGCCTACCTAATGTAGGTACATTCTCCGAGAGCAACTTACATCTAAGACCGTATCTCTTCTGCTGACACGGAAACGAGCTTTCTAAGACAAAGAATCTAAACATAGTTTCTTTATTCGATCTCCAAAATGGCTGGTTACAAACCATCCACGGGACCTTATGGCGGGGGCTGAGAATCGTGTGTGACCACAAGTGGTTTGCGCAGGAGATCGAAAGTCAGCCCTTACTTGCGGCTCGGTGTTAGCCTTAGCTAAAGATTGGTGAAGACTTATTCGAGCGATGCGGCTAATGGGTATATGGCTACCTGACGACCGTAATAGCCTATCTCAACGTATTCATACATATTCTTGATCATATAGTCGAATTATCTACATGTTTAACCTCGACAGAGCCGAGAAGGATTCTTCCCCGCATAACACGCCACATAGCGGCTGTTGCGATTCGCGATGTAATGAATGGAATTGGTAGATCAACCTCGTCCACCTCAACATCGTTGCCATGTCATGGCCCACCAGCGCCCATCTCATACCGATTACATCGAGGACCGCTTTAAAAAAAAATGATCGAGCCTGATGACGATCTTGTGGGGGAACACGATATTCTGTAAATGGACCCCGGAGCTACCGATATCCTTTTGGACGCGGGTAACCATGTTCTACTCAGTACTGTGCTGTGAAACTTTACTAAGACATTGACAACAAGTGAGTGTCCTTGACCGAGAGTTGGGGTCATACTAGGGCGGAGAGAATACGAGGCGACATACGAGGTCCTCCATGGGTACGTTTGAAAGTGTTGGCATACGGGAATAGGGTATAAAAGCTAAGGTCGGTCCAAAAGAGAAAACAGTGTCGATCCCCCTCATGTCGATTAACAGTCAGAGCTAAGAAGCAAAGCCGCGTGCTTTAATCGTGAGCCGCATATAAGCTCATCAGAAGGCTTCTTAACCCCAAATCTTCAGTGCTCGGGTTGGCATGGAATGTCGATATCTTCCAACGTCTTTGCCAGAACGTTAGTCGACGTCCCTCGGAAGTTCTTCGAGATACTATGCTCATGCCAACAACTCTCTTGTCTTACCACACGCGCCAGATTCTTGATGAGAATTTCGCTAAGGTTCAACGCATTTGGTAGCTCCCTTGGACACGAAATTCGCTTATGAATCTTGTGCCACTGAGTATGGGAATATCTATATCGATTTATCCCATTTTCTCCGAGTTTGTAGCCTTACTCCGAGGCTTTCATCTCTCAAGATGGTATGTATTTGACATGCCTTGTGGCTATTGGATACCTACCTAGGTAGGTATATATATTCTACCTGAACCTCTGGATGGGGCGAAGTATTTGGAGTGAGGATGAGAATACTATTCAAGTATTGCGACATCTCTACTCAATGACAAGTCTCGTTCTGGCGTGATGGCATAGCGAATCGAATGGAAAGGAAAGGTAAAACGTGGATCATTCCTCTTTGAAGCTCTACATAGTATCTTAAGGTAACAGGACGGGATCCGGGGTCGATTAACAGACCGGTAGCCCCCACGATATCTATGTCGCTTGGTGGGTGATAATTATTTTAGGACAGATCGACTCCGAACCAGCCGATTATTTCTTACTCTTTGCGGCCGAGTGGTATATTAATCCGGTAATCTCTGGCCTTGATTTGGCTCAAACTTAGAAAAGGTTGAGAAGTTTTAATAATCTGATTTTGTTTATTCGGGGACTTCGGTAAAAAGAATTATCATAAGCGGAAGGGGCCATACAAAGTTATGCAACTTATGCGTATAAGCTGATAAGCTGGTAAGCTGCGGAATAATCGGTATAAGACCCGCCCGCGATAAGGTAAAGTTCCTAGTCTTGTGGGGCCGTTTAGTGGTGGTCGCATCACTGAATGGACCAGTCAATTGTTATTTAATACATTATATCCTTGTTGAGGATACGTATGTAGCTGCACGGGAACGGAACTTACACTGTATAGCATCCCGTTAGCTCCCCCGCTTGTGTTTCGTTTTTCGGTGTTTCGTTTCGTCCCGTCGCTTCGCCAATTTGGTTTTCTATAATCCGTACGCGCCCCCGTTGGATCCGATGTCGTTGTATTTTGTTTCGTGATTTCTTTAAACAGTCTTTTTTTGAACACACCCTGTTTCATTCGTTCTCTCCAGTTTGTATCGATCGGCTGGTCCGTTGTGACAAATTTCGTGCATTTAGTACATTTCGTACCCAAACAATATTTCAGAATGACAGCTGTTGAGCCAAGCACCCGGAAAAGGGTGCTGAAGGTCATTTTCATATCATTGCTTCTAGATCTGGTACGTCACACAATACGGCCAAACGCATAACATGAGACAATTACGTATGCTAACAACGGATATTTGCAGATATCATTTACCTTTATTCTCCCTCTCTTTCCAAAGCTCCTCGAGTTCTACAGAAATAGCGAAGTAGGCGACGACTCGCAGACGACACTCCTCGCGCAGATTCTCGGCGGTCTCAACGCATACAAATCTGCTTTCGCGAAACCAATCGATTCGAGATATGATATCGTCCTATTAGGAGGAGCCTTAGGGAGCTTATTCTCTCTGCTCCAGGCTATAGCGTCCCCCGTCATTGGACGCTTGTCCGACAAGTATGGCAGAAGGGCCGCGCTTCTTGCCAGCATGGGTGGAAATATTGTGTCGGTTCTCCTCTGGGTGGTAGCAGTGGATTTCAGAACCTTCCTTGCCTCGCGTGTCGTAGGTGGCTTATCGGAAGGCAACGTACAACTGGCCACAGCCATTGCAACCGATATCTCAGACGAGAGTAGCCGTGGCTCGACTATGGCCCTCATAGGTGCTTGCTTTTCGATCGCTTTCACCTTTGGTCCGGCCCTCGGCGCATACCTGAGCTCTATTGCAACCGTGGCCGCAAACCCTTTCGCAACAGCCGCAGGCGTATCTTTGTCCCTCATTGTGATCGAGACGATTTACCTATATTTCGCGTTGCCCGAGACTCTGCCAAGTCAGACAGGAAAAAAGACATCTAAAACAGCCACGAAGCCAACCGCAGTAATACGTACCAACTCTCACTTTTTGCTGAACTTGGTACACTTCTCCTTTCTGCTGTTCTTCTCGGGAATGGAATTTTCCCTACCATTCATGACGTACGACCTCTTCCAGTACAACTCGGCCCAGAACGGCCGACTGCTGGGTTTTGTGGGCCTAATTGCTTCGATCCTACAGGGCGGAGTCACCCGCCGACTTCCGCCGCTTCTTACCGTGCGGATCGGTGTCACCGCGTGCTTACTGGCGTTCATCATGCTCGGGCGCATTAGCACAGTCGGATCACTGTATCTAGCTGCCACTTGCTTGGCGACCACCTCAGCCACAGTCGTCAGCGGCCTCAACACGCTAAGCAGCTTCGAGGCTAGCGAGGGCGAGCGAGGAGGCAAACTAGGCATACTTCGAAGTTACGGCCAACTCGGGCGAGGATTGGGTCCCATTCTGTTCACTAGCGTATACTGGTGGGCAGGTAGAGAGGTTGCATATGCTGGGGGTGCTCTAGGTATCCTAGGCGTTACGTTGCTGGTGTTCGCCGGGTTAAAGTCACCGCCCGGTTCGCTGAAGAAAGTTAAGTCGGAGAAGAAAGAACTGTAAGAAGTTGTCGTTGTGTCAAATGCGTTGAAGTATATAAAAAGCCCTCAGCTCTTTTATCAGATGATCATAGAGAATTTCGGATAAGACCTATTAGAATAACGTTGTATACAACGATAGGCTCGAAGGGGTGTTTAATGATGATGATCAACCAATGGCCTTATGGTGACAACTTTATTTAATGAGATTATGCTTGGGTCATTTATAAATACAATACAAAATCTTCGAGTCGATTGGATCATCTATAATTGCTGTTTGAACTATGGGCCGGTTGAAGAATCAATATACACCATCATCGCATAACATATGCTAAAAGCAACACCCATGGGAGTTAATGCCTTTATTTCCACAGCTTCTTAATGGTAATTAAAATATACAATCGATCTGCCTCCAAGTATCGACTGTTATATGCTTAACTACATTTTTCGATACGGTGTTTATTAAAAGTATGAACTAGCGTAGGTATTCGTCAAGGTAAAGGTTCTAAGAGAAATATGGAATAAAATAGAATCTGTGGCTTGAATATACCTCGTACATTAAAATTGTTCAGAGTCGTTAGGTGATATCAGAACAGGAGATTTAATATGCAAACTTATCGTCCAAAGGGGTGGTGAACGCAGCTTCACTTCGCATATACGTAGTCCTACCCAGCTTCTACTTATATCGCAGCATGTACCCAGTTCGGGATAGTGGCGAGGGCGCATTGCCGGCTTGCATGATCCGGCTTTGGATTCGCATAGGTAACGGACAGGCTCTAGTTGTAATTACGTGGCTGATGAGTATGCAATTGTGCCTTGCTCGTCGCTAGGCAGCAACTAATTTAAGCAACTAAAGTAACCTACACCGTTTGACAACGAACTGCTTACTCCCACATAAGCAGATTATGTAAAGGTTTGCTGGTGGCTTAAAAGTCCACGATCTATATCTTGGTAGCTCAGCTAATTATAATTCCTATCCCCAGTCCTGCGTTGATCATCGAGGCTAAATGCAGATCTTTGACCGCAAAAGTCGATGTGCAAACACTCGAGCCTCAGCACTTGTCTTCCAGGTACCCAGAAATGTGGAGAGCAGCTGAAAAATACTGTGGAGAGAGGATCGTTCGTTAGCTGAATTGAGAGGATATTTAGGATTCGGACAGTATGTGAAATCTCGGAGTTGCGGGCAAGGTGCCTAACGCGGCATTTCTTAGAAACCCAATGGACGTATCAAAATACGGCGTATAGAAAATTATCCGGTAAAATTAGTATTCGTGCACGGTTCTCTATAGTCCTATAAAAACGTCGAATTGAAGCTTTGACTACTGCGGGGTGGGACTTATGACTACCGTATTAGGCAATAGTTAAGGGCTTGCCGGATTGTGATTGGCTAATAGGGTTAAAGTTTAGTTTAGTTTTCCTCATGGCTTGGATTTTCTTTTCAAACGCATTAAAAGTCCTAATTACATGCTTAGTATACAGTCTAACATACAGTCATAACGACGGCCGTTTGTTTACCTACATAGAAAAAACGCTGCAGTTCATCACTCAGCTTAATTCAGCCTAGGGATGGCTCTGAAAATATTAGTTGGAGATTTATTCTCCGCTCATGATACCTTCTCCAATAACAACGGTAAACTGCTAATACAACCCAAGCCTAAAAGTGAGGCTTAGCAAATCCTACAACAACCCCAGAGTAGCTATCATTACGTAGGGTTGCAGACTGCTTGGTCAATGCAGTCATAGCTTGCCGGCTACAAGAAGAACGGTCAGCCTTCTTTTCTGGATGTTAAAAAATAAAGTCAATTCCAAGCCCTTTCCTTCTTCTAAACTTCTCACGTAAGTCTGCTCCCGTAGACTTGACAATACTTAAAACACTAATGACTTGTGCTTCAGCTGTAGTTGGATAAGGATTGGTTTGTGCACGATGAAATCAGCAGCACTTTTCACTGGCCTCTTGGTCTCATCCAGCCGATACGCTACGGCCCAAAGCACTTCGAGCTTCGACTGGACGAAGCTCAGGCCCTCCGCATCACTGGAGTATTCTGAGTGCTATGGCTCTTTTAAGTGTGCTAAGCTGGGTGTTCCTATGGACTGGCTTAGCAACTCGACTCACAATGCGACCGAAGTCTCCTTGGCCGTTATTGCGCTTCCAGCTACGGTCCCCGAGGACGATCCCTCCTTTGGTGGCACCATCATCGTTAATCCCGGTGGTCCTGGCGGATCTGGAGTAGAGTTTGTGCTCGAGGCTGGCGAGCTTATTCAGGGTGTTGCTGATGGAAACAAGCATTATGAAATCCTGTCCTTCGATCCCCGGGGTGTTGGATACTCGGAGCCCAAGGCGGACTGTTACAATGATGAGCTCGCCCGAGATGTCACCGCACTCTCGTTCCGTGGCATGGGTCCCTTGAGTGGTGGTGAAAGCGTCGTTAGACGCCAGGCCGCTCTACTCAGCGCATATGGAAGTCTCTGCGAGGGTGAAAAGATTCACAAGTTCATGTCTACAGCTAGCGTTGCGCGAGACATGGTCCAGATCGTAGACAAGATCGATGAGCTACGTAGCAGCAACGGAACTTCCAGCACCAAGTTACGTACGCGTGGCGGTCCGCGACGAATGCAATCGCGTCAGGAGAAAGACCTCCCCCGTATCCAGTACTGGGGCTTCTCTTACGGTACGGTTCTCGGAAACTATTTCGCCTCTATGTTCCCTGGCCGTGTTGATCGCATGATCCTCGAGGGAGTTGTGGATATCCATGATTACAACGAAGCCGTAAGTGTCATACTCTAGCATAGCTATCCCTTTGCAAAGCTAACTTTTACATATAGTCATGGTCTAAGAACCTTCAAGACACTCAGAAGGACTACGACCAGCTTTTCATCAATTGCTTCGAAGTTGGTTCTCACTGCGCCCTTTACAAGCAAGGTGACTCGGGTCCTAGCGATATCCGCGCCCGTGTCGATGCTTTCCTGAAGCAACTCGACGAGTCCCCGGCTCAAATCGTGACGAACAGTAGCATCGAGGAGATCACCCGGGCTGACGTCATCGCCATCATCTTCCAGTCTCTGTACCAGCCCCAGGAGTACTTTTCCCAAGCTGCCACGAGCATAGCCAAAGGAATGGAAGGTGACTTCAGCATTGTGTACGCTACCCTCGGCACCCCTAAATCGGCTGAGTACTGTCCCACGACTATCCCGAAGACGTACACTTGGACTCAGGACGCAGAGATCGCCGTCGGGTGCGGGGACGCGGAGTCAGCAAATGGTCAAACCATCCCCGAGTTCCAGTCCTACCTCACCGACATCCAAGAGCAATCCCCCGACTTTGGTGCAGCCTGGGCCCAGCTCCGCCTCGCGTGCAGGGGCTGGCGCGTGCGCCCCAAGTACCGCTTCACAGGACCCTTCACAACTCCGGCCGCGGACCCGAGCGGCGCCCCCGGCAAGCCCAAAGCGCCGATACTATTCGTATCTAGCCAGTACGACCCGGTGACTCCGTACGCCAACGCCGTCGCCATGGCGAAGGAGCACACCGGCGCGCGCGTCTTGTTGCAGGAGAGCCCCGGCCACGCCACGCTATTCTCGCCTGGGAAGTGTCGCGAGGACTACGTTAAAAAGTACTTCGAGACCGGGGAGCTGCCGCCCGAGGGCACGGTCTGCCAGCCCGACTGCAAACCCTTCCGGGACTGCCCCTCGGCTCCTAATATCAAGCGGAGCGTGGGCCTTGCGGCGGAGAAGAGCTTCCCTCCGCCGAACCGCGGGCCTTTGGGAATCACTTGGTAGGGTATCTATCTACATATATACCTATATAGGTACCTAATTTACGTGATATTTATTTATTTAACGAGCCATTTTGCCGCGGAAGGTTAGTGGAGGGAAATAGGGTTTATAATAATAACGGATTTGTATGATAGGAAAGGAGGGTTGCTAATGGATATGGGATTTATTAATGATATGAATGAGAAAGAACTCCCAATGGAAAAAGAAATATTGCCCTTGTTGTGACTCGATTGTGCAGGTCGGATTGGGTGTGGTGTCTGTTCGTCGTGAAATCAAACTACATACAACTGGTTGAGAGGAGATATCGGGTTGGTTCGGACTGGCGTGATTACCTGCGATTTGCTCATTACGAGTTAACTCGTCCGTGTACAGATTAAATAGCGCTTAGTTTTCAGGCCAAATAATGTCATTTGGGCCGAGGACCGGGAGTGGTTAAGTGCTAGTTAAGGCACCAGGTGGAGGATCGTAGACTTGATCAGCACCCACGCAAAGGTATTGATTGAATAAACATAATAGGGTGTGATGAAATACTTACAACACATTCGTGCCATCTCCGTTGCGTTGATCGCTAGGTACCAATGCTTCAAAGAGACCAGGGTTCGAGGAGGAGGGATAGTACGGGGGACCACTACCAAAGAAGAGAGCACGGCACCAATGATAAATCTGATCCAGCACCTCCTCGCACTCCCAGAGGCAGACGTCGTTCTTCCTAACACATTCCACAGCTACGTTTTCGACAGGGTCGTGGAAGACAGTCCAGCCGTCGGACCTCCGGCGTATGAAGATCAGCCTACCGCCGTTGGGCACGGGAACTTGCTTGTTCTCACGATTGACGTAGTACATCTCCAGGCTTAAGCTCCGCGGCCGCGCCATCCTCGCCGCAGCCCTCGCTGCTTCTGCAACCGCGAGTTCCTCGTACCTTCGCATTTGGCGGGGGTAGTTCTCAAGCGGGGAGCCGGGGTTCTCGCTGCGGTGGCCCTGGTACGCGTCGTACTTCTGGCGAAGCAGATAGTTCAGGGCTCTGAGCAAGATGTTCAAGTTGGGGTTGGTCGGAATAACAAGCCTGCTGTAGAGAGGAGGCCCGGAGGTGGTCATGGTGTCCATGATTACCCTATGGGTTGAGCGGAAGGGGGGTCGGTGTCTTCCCTTGCGGTCGTCTCCGCAGCCTAGAAGATCAACTATGCGCTTCCCGTCGACGATTCTGACGCTGATCTCCGGTTTGACTGGACATGCTGCGACGGGGATTGCGGGGACGACAAGGCTTCTGTCGGGACCCTATGTTGATTTGGAGTTAGCAGGATATTTCCGGGTTGAATATGGAGAGAGCTTACAGTTGTTTCGTAGACAGGGTTTGTCTCACGGACATATGTCTGGGTACTGGCGTCACGCATACGGGGGACATCCGTCTGGATATCAACGTCGCCTGTACTAGCGACAGGCTCTCCCGAGTTAGACATGATCTAAAAAGCTGATTAGAATAAGTCAGTGTTGGGGATTTTCGAAGGTAAAATACCTCGTCGTTGGAAAGTTATGTCTCAAGAACCAGACAGGAAAATGATGATCCAACAACACAAATAAGTGTTTGACTGGAAGAAGAGGCTAAACTATAGATGCTCAGGTACTCGAGCAGGTTCAGTTCTTTGCTCTGACTTAGTTTGTGTTGTGAGGGAGGAGAAAGTAAAAGAAAAATTAGGATGGACTAGCTGTAAATTTATTTGTGGCAGTCCCATGCTCAAATCAACCTGATAACCCTTAGTCAGTGTTGGTTGCTCTAAAACTGAGGGGATCGTGAGATTCTTAGTGACTAATAGGTAAGGCTAGGAGGCTTAGGACCCGCGAGGGGGTGAGGGACCTTCAGGACTGGTTTGTGTTTAGGAAAAAACTGTTGCAGCTGATGATAAACACCCGGTATGGTAGTGTCTAACATCTAACCATAGGAATTTGGCTCGTGGTACATTAGTATACGCATGCCTGATACCATGAGCGCAGCTATTCCTAAGAAGACTATTGCTTTTCATGTCTAAGGTTGGACACTTGTGGTTTAAACGGGGTCACAAAGCTTCACTGTCCTCAACAGTGAACAAGCGTTCATGCATGTTTGAAATCAGAAACGATGCTACTGTTAACGAAAAGGACGCCTAAAGCCTTTATATTGAATTGAATATCACAATGAAAAATGCGTTTTTTGCACGATATGCCTAGTAGATTTATTGAAATGTTTATCTTGGTAATATCGATGAGAGCACACTATTTAACCCCCTGACTTCACTTCTACTACACACCGAAGCGTCCAACTGCAATTTGATAAACGTCAACCTCTATTCTGATACGTCCTTCTCATCCGTTAGCTGGCTGCGCTAAAGAATGATCGCTGGAATAGAACCTATACCTCCATTTTATGAGTAAATTTTGTTTCCTGCCTACCTAGATGTCATACCTCCTGTATTTGTCCCGCCGCCAACAGTGGGTTCTGAGTTTTGCTGGGAACTCTGAGGATTAAATCCAAGCTGCTGGGAGTACTGCTGTTGCTGCTGCGGGTGAGAATACTGAGTCTGTGGTTGGGCCGTAAGGGGCCCTCCGGGCCATCCTTGTTGCAGTTGCTGCATGGTCTGCCCCTGGATATCGGGTGGCATCTGTGATGATGGGATTCCTGTTGGTTGGTTGTACATATGCTGTCCATATTGTTGAACTGGCACCCCCTGGTACCCAGTGTTAATAGAGGGCCCCATATTTGGTGGTGATGTGTATTGCTGCGCCAGTTGCCCGGTCATTTGGTTGGGCGTGTTAATACTTGAAGTAGTCGGCCGGGAGCTGTGCTGTTCAGTATTAAAACTTCGGGAAGCCTTCTCAGCTCGTGAAGCGAGCTTTCCAGGCTCGTTGTGCCCATAATTATCTCCTGCTCGAATGTGGTTCTCCTTCGCTCGTTCACTGCCCGTGATGCCGTATATTTCGCCAAGGTACATCGAGAAATCAAGATATGCCGTCTGCACCTTCTTGAAATGCTTTTGCTTCAGGAATACGGGTTGGTTGTCCTTCCTGGAGTCATATTGTGCAAGTGCTAGGGCTGTTTGACAGGCATTTCTAATCTGTCTTCCGTTCCACCGTCCTTGTTTATGCTCGTTGTAATGCAATTTAGCGAACTCAAAGACAGCGTCATCGTCAACATTAAATTCTTGCCCTTGTCGCTTGAATCTATCCTTGATAAGCCCGAGATTGAGCTCAAAAACCTTTACTGTTTTCTGTTCATCAAGGGCCGGATAGTGCAGACTAATGTGAATACGTGAGGCAAAGGCTTCGTCGAAATCGCCAACACGGTTTGTGGTGAGGAATAGAATACCGGTATAGTATTCCAGAATTCGAAGGAAAACTAAGCAGTAAAGGTTAGTATGCGTGTATAGCATTGCTTTTCGGAGCTACCTCACTTGCTACTAGAGCGTTCCGGACGAGATCCTTGCGCTCACGCTGTGCAAGAAATACGTCTGCCTCATCTAGAAGAAGAATACAACCCCATTTGCTAGCAAGTGAGAAGTTCTTTTCTAACTCCACTTGTACATCTGTTGGAGTGGTACCAAGATCACCTGGGGAATATGGCGTTATTAGTATCCTTAGCATAAAACATATTATATGAGCCACCCACCACAGGTAATTTGAAATAATGGCTTCTCAAAATGCTCTGCAACACCCTCTTAAAAACCGTCAGCATAGTATCAATGCTATGACCATAGTGATAGCATACCTGCTGTTGTTGTTTTGCCAACTCCTGGAGCGCCATGTAGAAGAACTATCAACCCCTTTCCTAATATCATATCAGCATATATACAAGATACTCTTTTTTTTCATCGTAGAAAGGGCCTACCTTTACCACGGACAAGGTCAGTTTGTCCGTTGCCCCTTTGTGCTGCTTCCCTGTCCTGAAAGTGTTGTGTGACCAAAGCCTCTACCATGTCTTTATGGCCTGGAGGGAGTACAAGTTGATCGAAGGCAGTCTTGATATTATCTCTATTCTGCTCGTTCTCGTATCGCAAATGTGTAAGGTCTAACTGCGCTGTTCCGGTGAGAAATAATTAGTAACTAGTAAAAGAACAGGAATCGCATAAAAGACGCACCCCATTTGCGACTCCTAAGCACGAAACCAAAGACACGATATGTCATGATGATCCGCTCATCCTCAGTAGGCTTGTATGCAGCATTAACCATCTCTTGCCAGGATCGGGGGTAAATAATGAGAGAGGGTTGCTCCGACGCTCGTTGTGGGAGTAGACTCTGGACGAAAGCCTCAGTAAGCCTCTTGTCCACATAAGAATCACTATGGACACTCTCTGCTGCACAGCAAGTTGCTTCGCACTGAAGCTCTTCTTCTTCTTTGCTTTCAGTAGATACTAGTGATATTTCGGGCTTCCAATCTTGATGGACAGAGAGTGCCTCATTAAAATCAACGACGACTTGACTGTCGACCTCCTCTCTGGTATCTAGGGTGAAACCCATATAGTACATTGGCTTATATGTTGCCACACTATAATGTATATGGTTAGCCATTTTTTCTAGAGTTTTACTCTGGGAATATGACCCAGTGGAATTGATAAATTAATAGAGGATTAAAAAATGACTCTTGATATTACTTACTGTAGCAACATTTTACTTCGATCAATTAGTCGATCACGAATCCCTTGGTCCGCACTAAAACGGAGAGGATATACTGGTAGAGACTTGATCGGTTTCTCTTCCTCGTATCGAGAAATTTTGAAAGTCTTCGATACTGGCCCGAATTGCTTTCCGTCAAAGTCTATGTACACACATTCTAATTTCAGTGGTTGTTCTGAGGACTCTTCCTCGGATTTCCTTAACCACCGAGCCCATGTCGGAATGGCCATATGGGTAGGAGTAACAACGCGAATCAATCTGTAGGCTTGTTTTTCTCCCTGTTCAAGAACAACAGTCCCCGGCTTGAAGAGGTGCCATAGATCATCAAATAAAATTTTCTGGCACTCGTCTCCAGCGATATAGTCCAATTTCGGTCGAATATCAGTGTCAAAGAAATCCAGAAGACATTCCAAGTGCAATAGTCTTATTGACTCTAGATGTAGCTCGTCGTTACTCCCATCTGTATCGGTAACCCCTATTGACTCGTTGGGCCCCAAGGCCTCGCTCCGCACCTTATCCGCAGCACTTTCGCTGGATGAGCCCTGATCCGTTAATGTTTCCGTAGGAGAGTCTAGTCTTCTTTCTTCTTGAACGCGGGCCACGATTCTTTCTCGTAGCGTCGAGCTGTGTTCACGGAGCTTTGGCTCATAACAAACTAGCGACTTGAATGGACGGAGAAATATAACTCCAGATAGCATCACCGGCATATAAGTATCGAAGTATTGGTTGAGAGAAGTTAATAATGACTCGGGAGTGATTCGAATGCGCTCCGGAAGTGGTTTTCGACCCGATCTGGCTGAATCTTTCATGTTGCCTACCACAACGGGAGTTTGATGACCGATCGCGACTTGCTTCTTCTCCTTTTTGACATTAAAATTGGTGACCGGGTCAAGTTCAGGTTCTCCAATCAAGACATGGATTGGTTCTAGAAGTTGTTTACGGCCGTCTCTTTGGAATTTTTTGAACTCAACCCAGGATAAGTAGCTTGGCTTCACCTTGGATCCATTAAGGATGAGTTGAGTCGCTAGTATTCCGTCCTCTTTTTCCGTTGTGGCACTGGGGTCATTCTTAAGAGGGACTGCTTCGACAGGGATGGGCCCAATTTCTTCCCTTTGTTGCAGACGTAATGCTGCCCGTGATCTCATATAATCAAGAAAGTATTGTAGGTCATTCACCTCTTCTTGGTCAAACTTATTTTCATCCTTGCCGAGGTACCTTGGAAGAATTCCCTGATCCATTTCAGATATTCTCTTTTCGATAGACTCCAGCTTGTCTACAAGCATGTTGTATTGCTCAAGCGGCACAGTTTCAGATGCAACAGCGTCATTGTTTTCTTCCCCAGAAGTAGTATCTACCTTAGAATCGCTGTCGGGTGCCATATTGCTGGCGTCGTTTAATACTGTCCTATTAGTAATTTCGAGATATTTCAAGAGTTTGAATATACTGGGATTAATATTGAAGGTACGATGGTCAAGCTGGGAATCGGTTCTTAAGAAATTGGCAGCTAATATTTGACTGCAACTAGGGAATCCTTAATAACAGTTGACACTATTGATATCGTCCTTATGTGTGGATGTGGCGTGTCGATCGGCCACGTAAAAGTAAGGCTCAAGCCGGTAATTACTTCGGCGAATCTTTGTATTTTGTTACACTTATGGGGTAGTTACTTAATGTGATCTATTTTTTCATTGGCTTGCCTGAAAAGCCGCTGCAGTTTAGAAGCAGGCTCTCGATTCAGCTGAGAATCGGGATTTGATCTCTCCTTCTAGGTACTTTAATAGAAGTAGGCTCTGAGGTATTTGTTCGGCTACAAGCTTTCGATTTAGCTTAGAACCGGGATTTGATCTTTCCATCCAGTTCGATACAAGCAGGCTCTGTAGTGTAGATACTACATTACACACTGGTAAGATATATCTCTACTGTAATGCATCCGAATGGTCACATTTGGATTAACTGACGCCCCTCATCTACCTTTACCGGCACGGAACTTGTCGGATTATTGACTGACTATGATATATAGCATGACTTTGCATTAGTCTCTATGACTGGATGTTAGTATAGGCCACATGTTGATAAAACGTTCCACCCCAGTTATCAGTCTTAAATACGTACGTGCTATACTAAACCCTACACCATCTAATATTGCGGGAGTTTTAGATCAAAAAGCTCTAAGTTGGAAGCTTAATTCATTTTCCTTGTGCCCATGGCATCCCAACAGCCCCAAGGGGCCATTGTCCCAAAGATTCAACTTCATTCGCCCGCTGTGGACTTTATCGAGAACCACTTGGCAAAAAATGATGAGGCTTTCAATTACCCATACGCCAAATTTGATCCAAAACGTGATAGGTTCATTGACGACACATTGCCTCTCACCCATGTGATACAACCACCCCGACCGCAAACACCACAGGTGGAGTCGATGAGATTTTGGACCGACATCTTGCCAAGCGCAATGAGCCGACTTTCAGAGATACCAGAACCAGAAGGACGCAGTAAGTCTGGCTACAGTATCAGAAACCTCTTGGATTGGATCCATGTAAAAGAAAAGCTAGAGCTGGCAAGGGAATGTTACGAATTTGAAAGCAAAGGAAATGATGCTAGCCCTGGCATTAGGAATAGAGCAAGAAAAGTGGTTAGAAAGATGGTCGATCGGAGTGTAGTCCCTCTGCAACAAGCGGCACAATTTGTTCCAGACGTCGATATTGCCTCTCCGATCGTGGGGGCCGTGAAGGTGCTTCTTGCTGTAGGTTGACTACCTCTAGTTTCAAGATTTCCAAGATTTTATTCAGTACTGACATTAGAAGGCCTATCGAAATGCAGCAGAAGTCCGTGGGGAAATCAGCACTGGATTTGACGATATGGGCGACGGATTTGCTACTATCGACTTTTATGTGACAGTGTTCCCCAATGACCAAAACATCATTAAAGCAGCAGAAAAGGTTGTACTCGCTGTGTTAAAAGCAGTTGAGCAAGCTATAGGGTTCTTTACCAGTCATCAGAGTATGTCATCTTTTACTTGTCAAGTACCTAGGGGTAAGAATACACTCTATTATCATATACATACTAAAATAAATGAGTAGTTACACGTGCTGGATCTGCGGTCCTTAAAGGTACAGAATATCAAAGGGAACTCAGGGATAGGCTTTGCGAAGTCAAAAATTGCATCAACGAACTAGATATACAAGGAGAAAGATCGCACAAGTATCAGAATGATCTCGCTAACCAACAGAACCAAGAAGAACATAAGATAACACAAAATTTTCTCCGCCTCGATGTTCGCAACCAGTTTTATTTTTTCTTGAAAATCTCCGAGCAGCTCCATGGTATGTGGGACTACAATATTTAGGTAACGAAAAAGTTTTACAGCAGATACTAACTCTTAGTTAGATATCAAGCGACAAAATGAGGTTATAATCTCATTCCAGTCGCGCAGCTGCAGCCCCCAGCCAGTGCTACCTCAAATTGAAACTCTAGATGAAGTATGGGAAGCGCTTCAAATACCAGATATTGACCATATTGACCTTAACTATATCACGAAGAAAGCTGGAAGTTTACCTTTTGAGGACAGGGGCCGGGCTGAGCAGGTGGTGGATACTAGACAGTTCAAGCAGTGGATGCTTTCCGATAAACACTGGATATACTCAGGCAACCAATGGGTTCGTCTCAGTCAGAACAATGATGTCTCAGGACGAACAATGAAGCTCCTAGTACACGGAGACTACGATTCAAACGATAACATCTCTCCGTTCTCCGTCCTCTGCGCATCTCTCATGGGAATCCTACGCAGCCAGAAAAACTTCATCAGTCTAGTATTCTTCTGCGGGCGTCATCTTGATGGTGACGAAAGCCCAGGATCTTTGGCTATGATCCGTAGTCTAGTTGGCCAGCTCTTACAGCAAAGCCCTTCCTACCCAAGTGGGTTAGCACAGCATGTTTCTATGCAGGATGTAAGAGGAGGAGACGTTCAGGAGCTGTGCAAACTATTTGGCTGCCTTATCAGACAACTACCTTCGACGGTCACAGTTTTCTGTGTGATAGACGGTATAGGGTTCTATGAGAGAGAACAGTACAAGGACGATATGGAGGAGATATTAGTCTTTATACTGAGCCTAGCTGAAGACGAAGAGCAGGGCGTCGATACGGCAATCAAGTTGTTCTTGACAAGCCCGCAGCCTACTCGATATGTGCGGGCCGTTTTTCAAGAAGGGGTATCTTTATTAAACATGGCGGCCGTTCCAGATGTTGCGCAGGGCCCCAGCTCGGTGCGTTTCAACAGACAGATCAGCAATGTAATATGAAAAGAAGACCTACAATATGTATCTTACACGCCTATGATAAAATTATGACTGTATTGTCATTTTGAAGTACGTAGGTAGATAGTATAGCTGTAGCTGGTAGGCTATATAATATGGTCACCGACCTGATATAAAGAGCATTAAGTATTATATAACTGTCGAACTTGGCCACTTATAGGATACTAGAAGCCTTTCCTAATAATTGATCAATCCAAAATAATTTGCTAACCAGTTCTTTTTCTATTTCCTATTTTGATAGATTTAAGTTAACCTTGGACATACGTGGATTCACTAACAGTCAACAGTCAACAGTCAACAGTCAACAGTCAACAGCTAACAACCAACTCGCATCTTCAGGAAGTTTACTTTAGCCTTGGTCTCTTCTCGAGGAATTACAATATTACCTATTAATATTAAAATTATCCAAGTGCTAAGCCAGCATCGTTTGCGAATACTACTTTTCCTATGCAAGTCTCGTGGCTTAATCAACATTTTGCGTGTTTGCTCAATTCTGAAACCGGACAAGAACCTATAATAGTATTGCTATATAAACAACTAAATATATCAAACTAAATACTTTATATCAGTTATCACATATAGGCAGTACTTAAGCCAAGTGAGAAAATTCACAAGAGTACTTGCATATAGTGCGAAAGCTTGGACCCAGCACATGTAGAAGGTGCTACGCCACGGCTACGACTACCGTTTGCTTTTTTTTTTTCTTTCAAGGAATCATATATATTTGATCGGACGTTTCGAAATCAAGCTGAAGTCTAGCAAGGGCATCTTATTGGAAGCAAGTCAGCCAAGGTGGAGCAGTTGTGTGCGGGTAGGTGCAGATAGGCAGGTACCCCTAGATATTTTCTGTTGTGGTAGGGATGTGACCTGGCACTTCCGTCCTTTATCACTTCGTTAGGTACGGTAGCTTGTAGTTCGTAGCTTGTCGTTGCTGCCTATTGTTTTTGTTGTTGTTTCTCGTTACCTAAGGTTCTGGATTAATGACGTGTTACCTACCCGTGGATCTCACTTGAACTTGGACATGTACCTAATATATCTCAATAACGACAACTGTTGCCATCATCACCGCAATAGTCAAGTGGTAAACACACTTGATTTTCACTGCCGCACTAGAGAAATGGTTAACTCGTCGGCCTCCTATTATTAGGATGAAATAAAGCCGAAGATTCCCGGTTCGAGTCCGGGGTGTGGTGCGTTCTTTTTTTATTTTTTTCCCTATTATTATTGTCTAGCCCCTTATCTTTATCGTCTATTATCCTGGATTATTTCTTCTTGATTTATTTTATCGTGAACCGTGTCATGAGGCCTTAGCACCTAGCTAGAAGTCATCATTCCATAAATTTATAGGCTTGCTGTTATTACTATTGATCACTATTAAAGATTGCGTTTGTATAAATGCCCTGGATATACAAACAGTAAAACGGTAAGTAAACGAGCACTTTTCATCAAATAGATCATCGACCACTAATTATCATAGGGTCTTAAAGAATGCTAAAATCTCCATAATCACAGCCTCAGGCTGTTCTTGCTGTACCCAATGCCCAGCACCATCCACAAACTTCGCACCCCTATAACAGCCCTCCTTAACAACTTGCGGGTCCTCATACCCCTCAAGCGCCCCCGGCTGCTGGTAATTACCCCAGTCCTGCTTCCCACTAATAAAAACACACGGGACCTCGATTCTGCGCCCTGAGAACAAGAGTATGTCTCGTGCCGACTGCTTCGTCGACGCCGTCTGCGCCCGATACCAGTTCAGCGCGCCTTGGAAGCCCGTCCGCTCCCACTCGCTGGAATATACCCTCATATCCTCTATTGAGAGCCATCGCTCTGTCTTATAATAGTTTTCGCTTGCCATGTTATATTCCACTGTCTCGGGCATCGAGTGCTCTGCTTGCATGATATAATACTCGGGCATGTGTGCTAGTTCCTGAGCGCTCCACTTCGTCAGGGGTTGCGGCTTGTTGGCTTCCCAATCTGCCGACTTCAGATGGAAATACCCGCGGAGGAATGATTTAAGGCCTTGTGATGGGTTCTCCCAGTCCCGGGCGGCGTTCGGGCTCGAGTTGTACCACTTGTAATGCTTCCGGGGCTGGGCAAGTTTCGCTAGCTCGGCCTGGATATCTACCTTCTTTATTTCCCCCTTTTCCCGGGGAGAGATAGGTTCCGCGGGCCGGTGGTGCGGATGGCTCATTTGAATGGTGGAAAGAAACATGTCTGGACGTATAAGCGCGGCCATGGCGGAGCTCACGCCACCAAAGTCGTGGCCGATGATGCTGTATACCGTTTTATACCCTAGACCATATACTAGACACACCAGATCACGCACTAGATTCGTGAAGACGAAGTCATTCAGGTCAACCGCCTCAAAGGGTTGTTTTTGCGGCCACCCTGTTGTTCGCCCGTAACCGCGTTGATCCATCGCGACGCAGTAGTATCCTGCTTTAGCGATTGCGGGCAGCACTTTACGCCATGAGTACGCGAGCTCTGGGAACCCGTGGCAGAAAAGCACGAGAGGTTTGCCAGGCTCGCCAGCTTTTAGGATGTGCCATTTAAGACCGCATGATGTGGAGCAGTCGATGTAGTCCTCCACGATACCCTCTGGTAGAGGTAAACCTGGCAGCGCCTCATTCGGTTGGTCTATAGTACTACTCATATTTTTTTTTTTCATAATTGAAATAAGCTAATATAATGCGCTAAATTATTCTAATAAAAGCTGTAGGATAGATATAGTGTTGTCTACGAAGTAAAAGGGGTCCGGTATTATCATTGGACCCCGCAGATACTTAGAAAAGGTATCTGTTAAAAACCAAACGTCAATTTACGTCAGCATGTAGTATCGTATTGTGTTGATTAAGACACTATATGTCTAGGTAGCCTATGATATATATCTAACACGCGTCAAAAATATACGGAATTAAAGCTTCATGAAATAGTTGAAGTGTATTGGGCTCACAATCCGGAAGACCTCCGATAAAATGAGCGAACTTGGTTTTTTTAAGGAGTAATTACGTCATTTTCGTCATAGGTAACCAACTTTCCAATTAAATCAATGAATCTACCTACTCTAAATCTTTGACTATAGGTGATAGAGTCATTGTGATGGAAGGAGCTCCAAGTAAATAATTCCACCTGTATTAGGTACCTAAGGTAGGTACTATGTATAAATTGAGACTTACGAAAGTCTTGGCTTTCAGTTTCTCCAACTTATTATCAAACCACTTGACTTGGCACAAGTTATCATGTCTTTAGCCCGCCATGTTAGTAGATCTGAACCCCTTCCTTATAAATAATAGTATTTATTATTATTTCGTTAACAAATTCTTAGATCGACCCAGAAGAGCTTGTTGAGCGTCTCCATGACGCCAACCTCACCGAGAATGGCCGACAGCTACGCCAGATGATGACTACTTCTCATCTAACACCTTATGGTACCAAATTTGCAAGCGAGTCGGCAGTGCCCAAGTATAGGCTTCCAAAGGAGGGAACACCAGCAGATACCGCCTACCAGCTAATTCATGATGAATTGGACCTGGATGGTAAACCAAATCTGAACCTTGCCAGGTATATACTTCCTTTCTCCTTAAACTCATATACCAGAAATATTTAACTAATATCCTCTAGCTTCGTAGGGACTTACATGGAACCAAACGCCACCCAACTGATGACGGAGAATTTATCCAAGAATCTGGCTGACAATGACGAATATCCGGCCATGATGTCTCTTCATGAGCGTTGCGTTAGCATCCTTGCTAACCTCTGGGGAGCTAAGAGGGGCGAGAAAGCCGTTGGGACAGCGACCACTGGCTCCTCAGAGGCTATTCACCTAGGAGGCTTAGCAATGAAGCGTCGTTGGCAGGAACATCGCAAAGCAAAGGGCTTAAATACTTATAGTCCAAATATCCTCATGGGTTCCAACGCGCAGGTCGCCCTGGAGAAATTCGCGCGCTACTTCGACGTCGAGGCACGTATTCTCCCGGTTTCTAAGGAGAGCAACTATCGGCTAGACCCGAATCTTGTGGAGAAGAATATCGATGAAAACACGATTGGCGTATTCGTCATTCTAGGAAGCACTTATACCGGTCACTATGAACCGGTGGAAGAGATCTCGAAAATTCTCGACGAGTATGAGGAGAAGACAGGCATCGATATCCCAATCCACGTCGATGCAGCATCTGGAGGGTTTGTTGCGCCATTCACTCATGCCCAAGCCGGCGGGCCGAAGTGGTGAGTAAAACTTCAAAGTCCCTTATGAAAACGTCTTACTAACATTCACTTGAAGGAATTTTGAACTTTCACGAGTCAAGTCCATTAACGTGTCAGGTCATAAATACGGACTCGTATACGCCGGCGTCGGTTGGATCGTCTGGCGGGACGAAGCTTACCTACCACAGCACCTAATTTTCGAGTTGCATTATCTAGGTGGTACCGAGAAGTCTTTTACACTGAACTTCTCCCGACCCGGTGCGCAGATCATCGTGCAATATTACAATATGATTCACCTCGGCTTCAACGGGTACCGCGAGATCATGGAGAATTGCCTCCGGAATGCGCGCCTCTTATCCAAGAGCCTCGAGGCTACCGGATGGTACACGTGTGTCTCCGACATCCATCGCCGAGCGACCGCTGCATCTAGTGTGATATCGGGCACGAAACATGCCGTCCTCGGCGAGGAGGGTGAAACCTCAGCCGACTACGTAGCCGGGCTGCCAGTTGTGTCGTTCCGACTAACAGACGAGTTCAAACGGGAGTTCCCACACATCAAGCAGGAATGGGTATCGCTACTCATGCGCGCGCGCCAGTGGATAATACCCAACTACGCGCTTCCGCCCAATGAGGATAAGATCGAAATCTTACGTGTAGTCATTCGTGAATCCATGAGCCTGGATCTCCTGGACCGTCTGATTGCGGACTTGGTATCTGTAACGGAGACTCTGATCGAGAACGATGAGGTCGACCTGTCGATCCTCCAGAAGCAGAAGCCGACGGGAGACAGCCGGCCGCGTAGGGACGCTAGTAAAGGGGGCCTTTCGGAGGAGTCCACTAAGGTGCTTGAGGGGAAGGCGGCGCGACTGGCGGAGGGTATTCACAGGAGCGTCTGCTGATATTTCTCTATGGTGATGACGAGTTCCCTTTCGATTGAAAGAGAATTCTAACGAGAAACTTGGGCATATACGATAGGGTTCTAAGACCCCTATCACGACTATCGCTTTGGAACCGTCTAGCCTGGGGCTTCTCCAATAGGATTTTTAAGCTTGACGATGACCCCCAGTTAGTAATATGGGATTCTATGGGAATATAGGGGTTACGTAACAAGAAATTGAGACACAACCGGTCACTGAGGAGTATTGTACGATATCAAATGCCAAGACCGAGATTAAATGGTATTTCTTAAGATGCCTGTCTACGTATGTCCAGAAAATCAGCGCCCCGACAGAATTGATTCTTAATTGCCTAAAGCAAATATGTGACGATCAGCAACGTCATGGTTACTTCTTCCGTAGCACATCCGCCGTAAGTGTATTTCCTAATGATTTCACCTACTTATTCTGTGGTTAAAGTAAACGTATGTATGTTCTTGCGAACCTTACTGAAATTATTCACTTTCTCAGATCTATATAGGCTAGCGATTCTCTCATACGCCCAACATAGATTACGCCTTGAAAAGGGAAGATGTATATAAGTGGATAGATAGATATATGTTCCGCGGAAGAATACACCTCTATGCGCGACACACCTGCATAATGTGCCTTAATAAATAAATAAGCACTTATAAAAAGCTTCGTCGCGATCTGCAAAAAAAATAACAGCAGCAGCGTCGTATTTATGTTACGACACCGAATACCTAAACTAGCATGGCGGACGTCCGCTGCAACGCCGCTTCCAGCCTCCCGGTTAAACTGAATATATCCCCTATCCCAACTGATAAAAACCCTGGTTTGCTGCGTAACATGTCGAAAAGTAAATAAAGCATAGTATGGAAGGATAGAGTAGAGCAGTCTGGAGTGTTCTAGAGAGCGATAGAACGATTAGGTATCTATCACTTACTCCCCTTACTACCTTGAGTAGATTTCCCGGCGCGGCGCCGTATACTCTAGACACGACAGACAGGTATGGGGGTGAACTCAGATATACATACTTCATGCCGGACTATTGTCTACCTACTTTATATATATATATATATACCAGGGGTTGATGGGTTAATATAGATATCCAGAGTGCCGAAGGATAAGCTTCAACCATATATTTATTAACCCGCGCAGATAGTTAATCTAGACGTCGATCTTCATTTATACGTGCATCTCGCAGTGTGTCGTGACGTGATTCTGTTTTATTTCCTACCTACGTATGACATGACATTGCTCGCTCCCTGGGTATTTATATAGGTTCGTGTTAAAGGTACTGGGTAGCTAGGCAAGGGGGAGTATATATGTAAAAGTAAATATAAATAACAAGCGAGGAGCGCTTCGAGGAGCCGCACAGCACGCCATAGCATCTATACCAACTACTAACAACTTTTCCCCACGATTTCTTATTGCTCAAGATGAAGGTATTTACTACACTTCTTATACCCCCCTATAACCTCCAGCTCCACCACCAGTTCTAACAAAAACCTATAGTACACACTATCCACCCTCCTCCCCCTCTTCCTCGCCGCCTCCGTTTCCGCCGCCAGCCTGCCCTTGACAAAGCGCATGACATGCAGCGCGGGCCTAGATAACCCGTGTCAGGACCTGTAAGTACTGCCTCGTTAACTTCTTTCCTTAGGTACCTTTCTTGTTTCTCGCCTACCAGACTCTTAGGTAGATGGCTAGCTATGCACCTAGTTAACTGACTTTCCGCAAAGATGCCAATGCTCCAGCGGCAACGTCGCTTGCCACTACGACCCCACGTCCCGGTGCGTGCAGATGTGCACGTGCTAGGCATATGATTCCACTAGGTAGTGGGAGGCTCGTGTTAAACTACATAGGTCTTAAATTAGCTGCTCGGTCCTCCATTTCAATGGCGTGGGAAAAGAATGAGGGGATGTATATTGACTGGTGTGAAATCAAAAGGACTAATTACGTTGAAATACCAACGCGAATATGGGCTGGATTTAATGTATACAAGACCATTAATCGACAAGCTTTTATTTCACCTCTGCGTCGAGTCTCTAGAATTAAGGGGAAGATAATTTGCTTATGAGTTTGATACTTGAACGTACCATAATAACACACCTAGAAGCCTAACTCACATTTTAAAAACCCTTATAAAGAACACGTTATAGGGAATTCCCCAATTAACACGATCCCCTCCTTCTTTTAAAATCAATTATAGCCTCCCCCGTATACTCATACACCATATCTATACAAATATCCAACGTACACTCATCGTCTACTACTTGGTCCCGAAGCCGACTTTCTCCTTAACGACGTTGTGCTTCCCCAATTGCCTGCAGATTTCTTGAGCTTGTTACCAAGGCTGATCCTAGCGGCCGACATTGGGTTCTGGGGCTGCGACTGGTCTAGGGGCTTGCCCTGTCCGTCTGCAAGGGGTATATATGCGCCGCTGGCAATCTTTTCCCAGTCGTGCCTATCTATCGAGCTGCGGTTGTAGATGTCGTATTTGTCTTCCACCTCGACATCTGATAGCTTCTGATTCTTTGTCCGATCTACGAATCCCTTAATCGAGGCCCATGTCTCGACTTGGCCATTACTTGATTCTTCAATGCAGTTGCACTCGTCACCAGCCGGACACTCGGTCTCGCCAGCGTCATGCCATTGTGCTATACAGGCCTCGTGGCTGGCACAACCGCATCCTAGGCAAGGAGGATAAAGGGCATCGATAGGCTCGTTGCAGAATACGCACAGTAGTTGCATCTGCGTGCGTTTGCAACGATCGCAAGTACCAACTGCACCTCCAAGTGACGCGCTAGCATGTGTCGACCGAATAGGATCTAGGTGGGTTTCATGTATGCGGCAAATACCAGTTACATCGATTCCTCTATCAGATGTAATCAACGACTGCAGCAGCTCCTTCTTGCCCAACACAATAGGCGAGTTGGCACCGTGATGTGAAGGGGAACTGTGGCTCACATTCTCCACGCTATGATACTCGTGGAAGCTGGCAGCCCCCGAACTTGCAAAACTCATAGCTTGAGGCCCAAGAGGATCCTCCTTGAGCACGTTGAATTTCAAGATCTCGAGTCGAGCCAACGGTTGTTTCCACATCTGTAGCATTTCTGCGTACGCATGGCGGTAGCTCGCATATATAGCGTGACGGGAAGGCTCGAGGAAAGGAACGCCAAGCCAGCCGTCGTCATCAAATATCGACTGGTCTTCCATTTCTGTAGAAATACCATAGCATAATAGAGGTAAGGTATCATCACTCCGTGCGTCATCATCAGAATACGAGTTACGTGCAGTGCCCGACGGTTCGGACGCAGGGCCTAGAATCGTTGAACTACCCCAAGTAATATTAGTTGGGGCAAGGTTGGACAAGAATGTCTCTCCAGGGCTGGGGCGTTTCCGACTAGGGGGTGATGTTGATGCAACACTCGCGAAAGCCCTAGGGAAGCTAGCTAAGCCAGCAGTTAGAGCAGTATTTGCACGACTAAAGAGCCTATTATCTGGAGAGGCGGCCAAGCTCTGGGTTGGATCGCCGTTCGGCTCATGAGGTGTCATCGTCGGTGGTGTCTCGCCACAGGAGTAAGAATTGGATTTTGGATCGCCGCCCCATGTTACTTCCTCTGAACCGTACGAGCCGGCAAGATTAACAGGTGTGTGTAATGTCTTGGGGGTAGAAATTGCCGAGTTGGCTTGGCTCTTATGATTATAGATGCTAGAATGCCAAAGCGACGCATCTGTGGGAAAGTAATCTAAGGAGAACGATGGTGCTTTCATAGGGAGAGGCGTTTCCGGCTGAGTGAGGTGTGATTCCGCGTACGCAACGCTATCCTCAGCCGACGACTCGCTGAATATGCACGAGAGCATAGCAAGCATCTGCACATCGGCCATCATCTCGAAGTAATAGAAAAGGTCGTCTATCAAACTTCTTGCGAGAGGATGATGCCCCCATTTGACTCGGCCGTTCAGCGCGGCGGTATTAGAGCCCGGAGATGATGAGCTGTTATCGCCGAAACGGGCGACAGCATCTTTTGCGATGACGAGTACTGATTCCCTGCCTTGGCCGTTACCTAAAAGCTCAAGAGGAATGTCTTTTCGAAGCAATAATGCTGCATAATTCCAAACGTCCACAAGATCGGACCGTCCATATTTCTCTGCTACATTCGCATTATGAGTGCACACATCCGACCCATCCCCAAATATGGAATATTCTTGAGCAAACTCTTGCATGGAAGGCAACTCATTGGCAACATTATATATGGATATAATGTTCTTAGGCTTGGCCGGACGACGTTTACTAGTGCCGGTACCAGTACCCGTGCCAATGCCCGTCCCCCCACCACTTGAGTGCATGGAATAACTGCCACTGAATGTCTTTCTGAAACGACGGCCCGGTAGATACCACATGTTAATCTTGTGCATATACGTAGTTTCTGAGTCGCTTGAGCTTGAGGAATCGTCACCATCTTCTGAATCAGATTGATCTTCCGTCGCTGAGATATCGTCGTTCGTATATCTATTTCTCGGGGCGGTCGACTCCTGCTGCAGCCTACCAAAGCCCGCAAAGCTAGGTTCCCCTTTAGGACGCTCCCTATAAGAGTCCGCAGTAGGAAAAAAGGAAATCTTGGCTTTTTCCTCCTTAGTAGGGAAAAAACAGACCAGCCTTCCATCATTCGAGAAGCGGCAGCCACACAAACGCGGCATTGGTGGTATAGTGGGTCTATTAGTAGGAGCAAGAGTAGCATCAAGCTCGGTGCTCGCGGTCAGCTCTTGGGACATAGTCGCGGAGCCACCGGCGGGAATATCGTTATCCTCTTCCTCACTTGAGCTCTCATCGGCGAGCCCACCGAAGTCGTCGTCTAGGTCCTTAACATTCTTAAAAAGTGAGTCGCTACTAGAGAGATCAACTTCTCCAAGAAGGTAACTAAAAGCTACCTCAAGACAGTTTTGTCGCTTCTTCGAGAACCGGCTTATCAACTGGTGGATTTCCTGTTCAAGTTTCTTATGCGTCTGGTCTGACATCAAGGCTGTCTTTTCAACCATGAATTTCGGGGCCCTTGATTTCGGGTAGTTCCTAGGGATGTCTACTCTGACCTTGATAAAAATGCTATCGCCGTCTGCGCCCCAGGGACCCTTTAGGGAAGCTCTGAGACTAAGAGAATCCATATCTACGTTATCCCATTTGACGTTTGGCATTTGTTGGTTGACGCGAACAATCTCTTCTTGTAGCGTTTCTGGTTCGGCCCAATGCTCGTCATGAAAGTTATGCCCAAACAAACCAGAGTCTCTGGATTCCTTTCTCTGGGACGCTCTGATGATCCCCGATTTCTTACTCATCGTGATGCCTTTCATCCAACCAAGCTGGTCTAGGCTCCGATCGATTACCTTCCCAGCGACAGTTTTCGCTCTCATCGAAGGGCCTTTCCAACTTGGTATCGCGCCGCCGGACCGATGATAGTTTGACGACATTGTCTGCATTCCCATAGTAAGGGCACTGCGACGAAACTGACCCCCGCCGCTTCCGGGGCGAGGATCGCTCATAGTAGCCGATCGCTTCTCTCTGTTAGCGTGGTCGTCAACGGCTCTATAAGTCTTATACGTAGCCCCCTTTCTCGTAATGTTGATATTTTGAGCTAGACACCCCTTTATATGCCCGACAGACTCTAGGGTTGGCTGCTCGACTCTGTGAAGACGCAATTCATTGTCTTCACCCCAAGATACGAGCTGAAATTCCCGATTGTCTATTCCGTCATCCGAGATTGACCCCCGAGCCCTCCACAGGAATTCCTTTACCTTATGGTTTCCATGCCCAGGAAAAATATTGCGTGGGTCAACAGCAGCATCCAATGCCTCCCCTTCGCTGCGTCGACCATCATATAAGTAGAGGTTTCCTGGGTCATTTTGAGGCATAGCTAGTAGACCATAACCGAAAGGGGTATGACGAGCACGCCATACAGGAAAGTCTGTCCGGATTATCCTCTCTGGTTCTTCAGATACGCTATAATCCCAGAATTTAATACTCTTATCTAAGGAACAAGTAACAATACTAGTCGCCTTGCTACGATTCCAATCAAGGCCGTAGATCTTGGAGGTATGCGCACTAATAGACTTAAGAGGAGTAGATGGCTTCCTCTCGTCCCAAATGTGTAACCACCTGTCATGTGATGAGGCGAGCACGTTGGGGTCTTGTCGATTGTACTTGACTTGGGTAGCTCCAGCGAACCAGTCGCAGAAAGTTAAGACAGGCTGCTTAGGTCTCCGCAAGTCCCAGCAATGAACATAACCATCGACCGCGCAAGTGGCGAGCATGTCAGGATGGTGAGCTGAAAAGTTGATGTCTGTGATTGCCCTACTATGACCTTGGAGAGAGTGCTCGATGGCCCCTGTCGCAGAGTCTTCCCTTAAGTTCAAATTCCAAACTAGACAGCGATGATTGGCCGTCGATGCCACCCAATAATCCCGGGCCGCGAAAGGCGACCATTGCACGTCGACCACCAGCCACGGGTGTCCATGACTACTTAATCGACGGGGTGGATTATAAGGGGCATCAAGATCGATGATGGCTAGACCTTCGGGGCTTTGAATATTATGAGTATGTATGAGTTATGCAGTAGATATAATCCTTTTAACTTACGATGCAAGGGCAACGTCGCGGCCACTTGGTGCTATGGTAGCTGATCCGACCAGTCCATCGACATGAATAGTTACATTAGCATCAAAGCTTTCGCTGTCGTAAGCGGACTTGGGAGCGTTCTCCTTGGACGTATCCAAGATACGGTCAAAATTCGAAGGCATGGCTGTTTTAATTTGTGGAAGGGCATGAGCCCACTAACGGAACATCGAATTCTCGATATATTTCGCATGACGTTACCGCCCATCCTCCATTCATTTGCACACGTTCTCTCAACTAGTATATCTCGCTTTCATCCTTCATTAAGTTGATTAGATGCACCAGACGCGTTTCTAGGTAACGAGTAAGATTGAACTACTGCGGGGCATCGTTGTGACTCTTAGAAAGGCCGATAGTATTAATATGATATCTCATGTAGGTGAAAAGAGATTCATTATATACATAAAGTAACATTGCAAGTAACCTTGAAGACTTGGAACCCTGATGGTGTCAGCGCGCAGGACGTCGCGATTCGTTATCGATAAAGCAACCTCAAGTTTAATATTAAGCCTGGATTAGGTAAGGTGTAACTGTTAACATGTCACTTGCCCCTCATCTATTGTAACCTTGAAATATTGTAACCTTGAACTTACTATCAAGCCACGATTCACGACTCTTTCTATAGATGTATAAGATCTGTTGGAATATCTGTATAATAACAAATTTAATATAAAAAAACAGCTTCAACGTAGTAAGCAATAAATCGGCTCAGGAATAAGCATAGATATTTGAGATAGATAGTTACTAAGCTGATAATGCGAATACACAGTTATATAAGTCATTAGGTATAAGTGAATCCCTAACAATTTACACATGTATTTCGGTGTGGAAATACCAACGTCCGACGAATGAGGGGCAGCAACTGAAGACCGTTAATATACAAAAATACAAAGATACAAAACACCGTCACTGCCCGCCGTCAGTCCTTATCACAGGGGACATCCCACTTGAATTAGTCCTTAGTCGCCGGTCTCAGTTCTTTTTGTCCGCGACGTTGGATCAGCCACGAACTTTCTTAAACTTAAGCAGTTTAGATAACAAGAGGTAGTCAGTCTATCAGTTGTAATCTTTTCTCTCTTTTTATTTATTTATTTAGATACCTATCTATTGATTCTTTTTCTTATACAACCTTTGCCGTCTGTTTCCCCAGATTTCCTTCCAAGGCAGCAAACCACCTGGGAAAAAGCACTAATAAATAAATAAGTGCTTTCCCCGCCGTCGCCGATATAGACAGGAGATTGCAAATCCTGATTTCCCTAAACTGCTATTACCGGTACGCCTTGTGAAGCCGTGGCGCTCTTTAGCTTTCTGGCTCGTAGTAGTACTACATACTACAAGCCTCGTTAGCATTCGCCCGGACCTTTTTTGCTCCTCCTCTTCTAACAGAACAGTTTAAGGTATTGCCCGTACAGAATAGAACAACGTCCTTGTCATTTCTCTCTCTCGTTACCACACCGACCAGAATAACAGGATGGCGTTACCTAAGCGTATCGTTAAAGAGACGGAACGTCTGATGACCGAACCGTAAGATCTAGATGCCCGGGTCCGTGCTGAGTGTTTGCTGGGTCTTGATACCTAACCGAGCGTTCGCAGTGTTCCTGGTATCAGCGCCGTTCCCCACGAAGATAACCTCAGATATTTCGATGTTGAGATCCACGGTCCCTCGGGATCGCCGTACGAGGGTTTGTGCACCTCCCATTTCCCGTCCTGTGCAACCGATAGATCTGTTCACTGACCATTCCCCAAAATCCAGGCGGCGTCTTTAAGCTCGAGCTGTTCCTAACAGATGACTATCCGATGGTCCCACCCAAGATCCGCTTCTTGACCAAGATCTATCACCCAAACGTCGACAAGCTTGGACGTATTTGCCTAGATGTGCTAAAGAGTCAGACTCCTTTTACTCCCCACTCGTCATAAAAGTTGGATCTGTTAACACTTTGTCTCTAGACAACTGGTCGCCTGCCCTCCAGATCCGAACCATCCTCCTCTCGATCCAGGCTCTCCTCGGTGCCCCCAATCCCGACGACCCCCTGGCTGCTGACGTCGCTAAAAGCTGGAAGGAGGATGAGAACAAGGCCATCGCGACCGCCAAGGAGTGGACTAAAACATACGCCAGCCCCCAGCCGAAGTAGAAGCGTAGGCTGCTAAAGGCGACTCGTATTATCTGCAAGCGCCTCGGGCGTATTTCGAGACACATCGCCCGTTATATTCTCTGTCATAATGATCGATGGTCATCCAGACACGCTCTAGAAGGTGATATTTCCGGGACTACGACATGGGTTTGGTAATCGTTAGATAGGAAGACCCGAAGTACTACCTACCCAGTCATCCAGTTAGCCAGTCGAGAATCTTGCCAGGGGTTAAGGACCCCTTTCTCTTTTGAATTTTCATTAGCATGAAACTGCACTGGCGTTCAGCGAGTTGACCAGAAGGCGGACGGTGGAGGATTGTAGACATGCATCTAGCAATAGCGCAATTAAGAAAAAAAAAACCATTTGGCACTTTTGCTCACCTTTGGCAAGTTATGGTGATAGATATTTAGTCCTAGATATTTCTAGACTGCTTCAGGAATGGAACACTAATTATATCAACTGTACTATGATAGCATCATGACAGCCCAATCTCAAGGCTTCAACCAGCGGGTCCTTAACTAAGTAGTTATCTCAAATATAAGTCCATACTATCCAGTAAACTGGAACCCCTCCTCATCTAGCCTCTCCCTTCGCTCTCTAGCTACGTATCACGGAACACAAAAACCCCCTTCCCAGCCCTATACCCCTGCAGCGTGCCCTGCACGGCATCCTTGAGGGTCTGCACATCCGTCTCCCAGTGCCACGGCACCTCGACGACGGGCGTGTCGCGAAACTTGCCCTCGCGCACCAGCCCCAGGATCTCCGCCACCGTGCGCGCCTTGGACCCCGCGTCCCCGTCCGCCCACCGGCTCAGCCAGAACCCCACGAACCGGATGTCCTTGAAGATGAGTAGGCCCGTCGGCAGCGCCACCGGCTGCCGCGCCATGCCCCCGTACGTCACCATCGTGCCCCCCGCGCCCAGACTCTTCGCGATTGTCGACGCGCTCTTCCCGCCCACGCAGTTGAGGCCCAGACGCACGCCTTCGCGCGCCCCGCGTGTCCACTCCGCTAGCTGATCCCGGAACTCGCGGCTTTGGAACTCGTCTTCTGTGACGACGTGCGTGGCGCCGAGAGCAGCGAGCTCGTCCTTCAGCTTCTGCGTGTCCTCGGGCGTCTCGCGCGCGCGCACGACGTTAATGCTGCGATACCCCCACAACTTGCCCAACTGGATCGCGGCGCGGCCGACGCCGCTGTTCGCGCCGTTCTGGAGGAACCAGTCGCCTTCGCGCAGGGGGCCCGGGTCCTTGACGTAGTCCCTTAACATACGGTAGGCGGAGCATGGGTTTACAGCGACGGTAGCGACTTGTAGCGGATTAAGGCCGTCTTTTTCGACTTTTATGACGGCGTCGGCGGGGGCGAGGGCGTGCGTGCGCCAGGTGCCGAATTGGGTTTTCTTGGGGATGACCCAGTCGCCGCGTTGTAGGTCGGGGGATGACGAGGAGACGACTTCGAAAGCGCCTTCGTTGCCGGGGACGACGGAGGGCTCGGCGGTACCGAGAAGAGTGCCGAAGGAGGGTTTAGCGCCGTAGGTACCCTGGACGGTATTTACGTCTGCGGGGTTGATTGGTGATGCGAGGGAGCGTAGGAGGACGGAGGAGGAGGGGAGGCTCGGGGAAATGGAGTGTGTATGTAATCTACGAACAAAGTAACGAGGAACTCGTTAGTCTATATGAAACTATTTCAAAATATTATATTAAGTATAAATAGGACTCACTTTAAAACATCTTTCGGTTCACCATACTCGCTGAACACGAGTGCCTTCGCTTGCGTGTATCCATACGGTCCAGATTTATATCGAACTTGTATCTGCGACGCCGGTACTAATTTCGCATTGACTCTGCTTTGGCTTGGTCGAATCGAACTCTTAACAAAAAAATTAGCTATTCCTTGCGCCCTAAGCGGTCGGATACTAGCCATATTGCCGTAGACGTTGCAAGTTTAATCATGAGACAAACATTGAAGTCCCCAAGTTTCGGATGAAGCTACTGATAACAAAAATTCGGAGCTCTGGAAGCTGAACTCGGCAATGACGTTATATCTTATCATAGCATTGCCGAACCGTGTTACGATTGGCCCAAGCTAGAGCTATTCACTAGGGCTTACCAAAAAAAAACATACTCCCTTTTTTAGATGTTTAAGTTCAGCCTCTATTTACTTGCATGTACATCTATGTACCTCTCCAGAGTCTATGTACATAGTAGGTAGGTAGACTTTAGATATTTACATGTAGCTACTATGATCACTCAAGAGAAAACATATCAGTCACATAATAATAACTCAAAGGCGAGGCCATATGATCTGATTTGCCTTATCGTCTCCAGACTTAAATGCTAAAGAACAAGAGGATTAAGTAAATACCCACGTACGTACGTAGGAAATGTCAGAAATTCGATACCTTCGCGCCAAAGATGCACTATTTCACAAAAAAATGGTGTAATCCTCTCCCACCGGAAGGTAAATATGAACTCTCCCGCTATCGTGACACATAAGCACATAGCCGTAAATGTTAACCGTTAGATGAAAAAATCGCTCCGTAACTTCTTTGCCGCCTTCTGCCAACTCTAAGATATTTTCAATCCTCCACTATCCTTCTAGGAGTGATCGCCTTCCGCGTCCATTAAGAATCGAATCGTTGGTAGTCCCCTTTTACCAAGAGAATAGTAGGACAAAAAAAGGTACCCCCAAACCAAAGAAATAAGCGGGGGGCGAGGGAGCAACACACATAACATACATCGGTCCTTTTCCAGATGCTCTTGATGTAACGCACTTATATGACGCGCGTGAGAAGATTCGAGAAGGTGAAGAATAAGAATGTCGAGTAAAAATAAAATAATGGGGAAAGAATTGACAAGGTATGTCGATGAATGAGCTCGCGCAGGAGCTGGGTATCTAATATTCCACCCTCCAAAAAGCTTTTTCACAAAAGCAACGCCTCCTCCGCTCACCTCGAAAGAATCTCCATGCCAAATGTCAAAAAATTACTTTGCCGTAAAATAATGACGGCTGTTTTGAAGTTGATATCCAAGGCTCATGAAATGCAAACGCAGGCAACCAAAACACGGCCGTAGATGGGGGGTATCATATGTTGCAAAACAATTTCCCTATTTGATTCCCTTAAATAGGTCATCGCCGAGATGAGTATCGACTTTAGTTTTAAGGGCGCTCAGCTCCGGAATCATCGGCGGCGGGGGGCCGGCCGGTTTCTTGGGTTCCTCGATCGGGTGTTCGAATACATGACTGGCCCTCTTGGCAGTGTCGTTCGATCGTAACCGTTTAAACCAACCGCTGGCGCGCTTCGACTTTTTCTCTTCCGCAATCGTACTTGCTGTCCGGCTCGGAGGTCTCGAAGTACCAGGGCTAAGAAATGATCCTTGTTCATCGTAAGCATTGTTCAATAATGTTCTGCTAAGCAGGCGTCTAAGGCTTCCACGATTTGACGGCACGGGGGACGCGGGACCATCTTCTGCTGGGCGCTTTGTGCCGACATTGGTCGTGATAGTGTCAAGTTCAGGTTTGTTAGGGAATGTACCGTGACCATTAGCAGCACCATTTGTTTCCTGCTTCTTCTCGACCTCTTCCCGGAGTGGTGTCTTTGGGGGCGACGGAACCTCTTCCTTGGGCAATGGAACCTCTACCTTGGGTGACGGTACCTCTTCCTTAGGCGACGGAGGCGACGGAGGTGGCGGCGGAATATCGGTCCCGTCGGTTAGGGAGCCAAATTTGAAATCCAGAGCTGGAAGCTCAAAACGGTTGGCAGACGATGTTGCCGCAGCGCCATTACTCGTGACGGACATGATTAGAGCTAGAGGAATGCGCTGACGAAGTACGTCAGGAATGGAGTCGGACACGGTTCGCTATCGGCTGTGGAGTGATCTGGACGTCTTGAGTTAGGATGAGTGTATCGAGAACGAAACAACCAAAACAAAACCTAGCGCACGAGCTGGTAGGGGGGTGAAAAGAAAATAGTACTAACCGTGAACGCACGGGGGCTCGAGAAGAAAGTGGTCCCCTGAGATCCAACCGGTTCGGAGGTGATCGCAAGTTTTCAATGGTAAAAAAGTACGTGGTTTTGTGTACAAGGCGTTTTTAGCGAGGGGAAAGTCAATAGCATCCCGACGCAATGCGATTTGTAATGGCAAAAAAATAAACTCCAAGTCAAAGGCAATTGAGTGAGTAGCGAAAGGTCCAAAGCAGTAGGAGAAACAAAGCCAGCGGCGCGGTGGGTTCTGTTTTCTGGGTGGAGAGACAGAAAGAGGGAGGCCAGGCCAGACCTAGAATTGCTAGGATCAAGGGTGTCGAGCAAAAGAGAGCCAGAGAGAAGTTGTGGCTGGGATACTTTAGTGTACTTTCGTAGCTTCGTAGTTCACTGAGGTCTTTAAAATGAAATGATGTGCTTTTAAGACCGTGCACGAAAAAACCTTAGGATTGGGTTTTGTGGGATATGGAAATGCGATTTTACGTCGATCAGTTCAGATCAGCTCGGCTTGCTATGTAAACAATGTTAAATATGCGAACTCGAGGGGGGGTGGAAGCTCGAGGATAATTAATCTGTGTATCGTGTATCTCGTTCTCAATGGCTGATCAAAACTTAACGTGATGTTGAAGGGTCGAAAGGTCCCTGGATTTTTCTACAATGGCTTAGAGGTGGATTTTAGTCTAAAAGCTAGATCAGAATCGGTACCTCCCAGGAAAGATTTACCGACTAAGCCTGCTAAGCTAGGTGGGGATAACCCCGATAAGGAAAAGTTGTGTTGACCTATTTTGGATTGAATTTGGATTAAACTTACACGACTCCATTTTAGTCTTGGTGGTACGACATTCATATGTATTTCGTACATGTATGTACAAGATACAACATTAAACCATTGAACGGGTCTTAATAAATAAAGATCAATTCGTTCGTGGGTATATGATCTTCCCAATATTCAACATTAAGCTTACTTTACTTGAAAGATAATACGAGGTGTCCACGTATGGAGTTCCAAGTATGAAATATCACGACCAGCCCCCGCTTTATGTACCGATAGTCAACTGCGCCTCATATAAACACGATACCCAACATATGTAGGTACCTCATACCACATATCCGAAGAATACGGTCAATATATATTCTCATAGATTTCCGCTCTAGCAAAAGACAGATTAAGTCTAAACCAATATACTCAACTTATCTTTCGTATATAAGATGCGACGTGTAGCTAGCTTAAGGAAGCCACATGTCGAAGAAGTAAGGTATTCTATTGTTAGATATCAAGACACTGAAGATGGGGAAAATAAAAGGGGGAAAAGTGCTTACGGCGGCTCCAAAGACTTGGAGAAGGGATGCCAAGACTCCACATCCATACCTAAGCACTGATCGTTCAATACGTATGATAGTAGCGGGGCTAACGATGGCTTCTAGAAGCAATGCTGATAGGCTGAACGGCATGTTCAGTTCAATACGTGAGCCAGTCCATAAGGTGTAAGACAAAACCGCTTCTCAGACGCCCAAGACCTTCAGCAACCAGTTTTTTTTTTTTTTTTTTTTTTCACGTTGTAGCTGCAGTATTCCGCATATCTGTTTCACATAAGAGCTTTGCATATCCTGCTGTTTGTATTGCGTGTTTACGCTGGGTATCTTGTATCGGATGGAACCGACATAACTTGGACATTAAGCAAACGCCGTTGGCACCATCTTGAGTAAATCAATGTAAACCCAATGGATAAACCATGCATAACCCTTTAACAATTCTAAGGTCTAAACGCTTGGACCCAATCATGTAGTCGATCAATAACGACGGGCATGATACCGTTAAGACTGTCCTCCATAATCCCATCCAAGTGTCTAATCGCATCCTCTTCATTCAATTCTAAATGGAAACGCTCCTTTACCTTGAAAACCGCCTTGTCCGGCTCAATCTTGATGTCCGGGATATTAGCATGGACCATTAGACTGAACAGGTTCAGAATGAGGTTCGACGATTTCCGCAGCGCTGCGAACGCCAGAAAGCAGTATTGCTTAAACTGCAGATACTGCTCGCTAGGGGGATTTGAGCCGCCCATCGCGTCTGCCATCTCCTTGCTAAGCTTGACTGCTGGTGCAAACGGTTTAGGGTCCCGGCCGAGGATAAACCCGAAATCAGCGTGAAAGAAATGTCCGTCTGGTGTGAGGAGAAGGTTATCGAGATGTCGATCGCCCACTCCTAATATATAGGTGATTACACAGTAGCCCGCGCACGATTTTATAAACGTGTCAAGGGTTTCCTTGCGTACTCCCAAATATGCTCGCTCATCAGGATTATGTTGCTTGAGGTAGGCAAGGGCAGGGTTGTTACGATATTTATAAGCGATTGCAGCAAATGTCTGGGACGGGATAAACTGAGAGGCTCCAGCAGTTGTACTAGTCGCGAGAATTTTGTAAGGCGTCAGTTTGAGATCCAAGTTCTCCTTTTGGAGTAGTTGATCCATGAGAGTGATGATCTGGATAACGAGCTGGTCCTGACGCAGGTCATCGCCAGTCTTGAAGATGATAGGGTACTTGCTTCCTGATACTGTCTTGAATGTGACCATGATTGGCGAAAGAGATGATTTAAAAACCCGCGTCTCTTCCGGAATGACTCCCGTGACCATGACCGATGGATCCAGGGGTATAGGTACGGCCGGGTCAATAGATAAGAGTTCGTTTTTTGGATCCGCTAGGAAATTTTTGACTTTATCAGCCTTGCGGGCAACCGACTCATTAGAGGCCTGGATTTCGGCCGAAATTTTAGATAAGACTGTAACAAGCTCGGCTTGTCTTCTAATGGTTATTCTCGTTTCGCGGCCACCTGGGCGGTCCTCAAGTTCCTTCATGAAGTCATATTGAACCTTTGCGTACATAGTACGAACTTCTTCGCCTTGTTCATTGCTCTTGTCGTCATATTCAACCCCAAGGTACCAGTAAAAATAGTTTCCAAGGGTAAAGTTCTGGACAGCTCGAGAAATTAAGAAATTTGCTAAGGAAGATGCTCGTACAGTAGCTTCATTGGAGTCAGCTGAGATATGTTCGAACTTCAAAGCTTGAACCAGCTGTAGTAAGTAAAGGAGCAACTCATGATCATCGGCCTTCCTCAGTCGCTCCACAGCATACGCTCTTACGGCCCGGTTATCAAAGGTAGGACCGAGCAGCTCAAGCGCATCGTCCACATCAATATCAGTCCATTTGCTAAGGACTTGAATTGCTTGCTTAGATTCGCTCTGGTCCTGCCAATTAACGGACTTGACAAACTTCGTGAGAGCCCGCTTATCCTTAGTCAAGTGGTAACGAAACTTCCAGACAAGATCCTTTTCTTCTGGAGACAGAACATGGGTAGGCGAATATGACATAATCATATTAAGCTCGTCACGAACCTTTGCATTAGGTCTCAAGTCTTTGTCTAGAATTCCATGGCGATGCTGACTCCTGACTAGGCGTCTATGCTTGCTTTCTGCAGGGTTATCCCGCGCACCAACTTCGGGATCATATATTCTGACTATGCGACCATCCATCCTGTTTCCTGCTTCACCAGGCCCATTGATCCCAGGGCCATATGACACCTCAGGGGGAGGTTTTAGAATAATATTCGATTGAGAAGCTGAAAGGTGCTGGAAAGATGAGATGGGCGGCGGCGGATACTCGTGATCTGCGAATACGACAGGAAAATCAAAGCGAGGCAGTTCGACATTCAGCATAAATCTCGATGGGCCAGGTCTCGGCGGACTTTCAGCCGCTAAGTCGGTAGTTTTATCTTCGCCCCCATCCTTCCCAGCATCAGTAGTCGGCGTCGCTTGGCGTTGAAATGATTTGACTGAGTTCTTTGCTGCTTTCAAGCCACGCTTCTCGGTTTCTCGGAATACAAGCTGGTCAAGCCATTCAACCCTAGGTATCTCATTCATCTCGTGCTTCTTGAATAATTTTTCCAAACGTTCAAGCTCTTCAGTTTCCTTATCCACGAGAGTGTCGTCTTTTTTGGAGGAACCTCTCTTCTTCGCTATGCTTGACGGTGTAGTAGTATTATCATTTCCATCTGCCTGTTTGTGGCGGTGAACTAGGCATTTCTGTCTGCCCTTCTGGAGCTGGTTGTCCTGGTCGAAAAGTGGGAGTGTCGTCCCGCCAAAGGGAATCGCGTGGCCCTGCGCTTGTTTCCCGCCGGTAGGGGAGAGGTCCCATATCGTTATTGCAAGGTATGAGTTGATCGGGAGAGATTTGTATGGTATCGGTAGATCAAGCCATTCGTTCCATCTAGGATGTATTTAGCTAACGTATTGAACCACTTAAAGACATCTGCTCAATCACACCTTCTTTCATTGCGAAATGGCTTGTACGATGTTTGTATTGGGACGGTTAAGGGCTTGGAGCCAGCCCATACTTGGACAGTAACATAGAGATCGGAATGTGGACTATATGAGCTTCAAGTTAGCATGACGCTGTAAGATAAGTACTGTTTAGCTACTCATAATGCACACACCTCAGATTAGAGCCTATATGTCTAAGCTCAGGCCTTGACAACAATGTTGAGTACAGATGCGGAGTTTCATCGCCCTCTAGATTAATTCTATATAATATATTTTAGTTATCAATAGGTGGTCGCAACTAAGAAGTAATCCTCTTACATGCGTATGCTAACTTGACGGTCTAACGACTCCGAGCTAGCAAATGAAAAGGGTTCCATTATGGGGATGCTTGTTCCATAATAGCTTTGAGATGATGGATATAGAGAGCACGATAATATCTAGTTGTTAACAAGGAGCCAAGTAAATGTATCGTTGCGATACACGAAATACGAAATACGTTATGTTGCCTAAGGTTAAGTACGCAAGTGGTGGGCGCATGTGCTTAGCTTTAAGTAGACTGTAATCGTCCCTGCCGTCATACTAGATGACTTATCTTATCAGAAAGCTTAAACCAGTGCCCCTCTCCACTTAGCTTCCTGTACCTACTCCTGCCCCTGCGCCCTAATACTGCACTTTACTCCAGACCCACAATATTTCTAGATCTTTGGAAACCTCAGCAACTCTGCGTTTGTAATTCCGTGTTGGAACTTTAAACAATTCACATATTAACTTTTGAACAAATGTACGTGTAATTTTCTTTTCATAAAACCGGGTGGTATACATTTTAATTAACCTTTCTTAGTCAGGTTTCATACTCAATCCCCTCACACCCTCAAACGGGGAGATCTTATACAGAACAACTTCCATCGTATCCATTAGAACCTTGGAAATATTCACGTCAGCCACGATACGAGCCACACAAACAGTCGGGCATCATTCAATTTATTTCAAGTCGCGTTGAGGCTTGCCCGTGACGCGACTTACGCGTCTCATTATCGCGAAGAGTGTGATTGCGTATGGAGTTATGATATATGCCAACAATTGACATCTCCGAATCCGACTAGAATTCTTCGCGGATAAAGATATCCATATTCTAACCGTTTACTTAAACATATAACCGGGTTCTGCTCCTTTCAAGCGCCTAGTCAACTATGTCATCCAGGGGCTCCTCTCCCGCGGAAGGGTCATCCGGCTCCTCGCCAGATCCTGATAGTCGCCATAGTTCATTAGTTTTCCGAGATAAAGGAAAGGCGACCGAGAGCGCTTCCAAAAGAAAGCGGACCTTAACTAATGGCGCAGAGCATGCCAATTCGCGGCAGCGTACGCGTGAGCCGGATGCTCAGGGCGGAGTTGAGGGAGAAGATTTCGACCCAGATCAACCCGCGGAAGAGAGACGCTACCTTCATCGCGGTTATCGGGGTCTCTTCCAGAATCTATACGACAACAATGATGAGTATCTAAAAGGAGATTCAACAGGGTTAATAGATACTATATGGAAAGCAAATGTGCTGTCGTCAGGTGTGAAGCAAACTGCAGAGGCAGTTATGGATTCCAAGCTTCTAGTGAGCACGGCGGATGCATCATACCGCAAGACAGTTCGCCTAACTGCGGGCAATATTGCTCAAGGTGTTGATGTAGACGAGTTTGTCTCAAAGTGTATCACTTATATGAGACTAGGATCGGGGATTACGGAAGACGACGCACCAGAACTGACTGCTACACAACAACATCGGAGGAGGCCGGGTCGGGGAGCCCTAGGGGATGAAGGGGACGATGATGATGATATCGGCGACGAGGGTGATATGTTTAATTGGGGGCATCTTGGTCGATTCGCTTGCCTTCCAAATATTAAACGCCCAGCAACACCAGGTTTTCTCCTCGGTCCCCTCTCTGCCGAAGTAAAGAAACGAAAAATCATCAAACGTAGTGCTCCATTCAGACCGAACAATCTCCAGGAAACACGGCCCGAGGTTCTAGATGCTGAAGCTGTACAAAGATCGGAAAAGAACGATCTTACTACTATCTGCTCCAAGATTCTTCAGAGGCTGAAGCAGGCGCAGGAAACAGCCCAGGATGCTGTAGAGGATGCCTTCAACCGCGGTGCAAGCGATGAAGAGGCACAAAAACTGATGGACCGCTACGGCCTAAGAGATACGGGTGGTATAGATCTCCTGAGATTCGTGGTAAATCCACGGTCCTTTGGACAAACTGTGGAAAATATGTTCTACGTGAGCTTTCTAATTCGAGACGGCCGTATTAGAATCGACTTCGACGCGAAGAATTTGCCAACTCTGAGTAAGTTAAGACTCGGTTTAAATTTTTCTGTCAACATGCTAACCTCACTCAAGGCTCAGTCGATCGTGAAGATGACACGGCCGCCTCCAAGCATCGAGCTGAGAAACAGCAAGCTGTATTCTCTATTGATATGAAGACATGGCGTGATATCATCGACGCGTTCAACATCACCGAACCGATCATAGAACACCGTCAAGAAGAAAGCCACCAAGGGCCTGGGTCTCGGGGTTGGTACAATTAGTGCTAGTTTTGCTGCTAGTCGCGTTTATATCGTAATGTGTATTTGGACCTCCTAGTACAGGTCCTAGTTATCGATTCGACTGAAGCAAAGGCCACATGCAAAAGGCTAGATAATGTGTATAACCAATAGATAGATACCCCCAAACTGGTGGAAACCCCAATTGCAATAAAACCACTTGACCAATTGTAAACTGCTTCGTAACAAGCTCCGATCCTCGTGGATGTCTATATTGAAGGATGCAATTGCGAGGCTTCATACTGCATCGTCGTTTATGGAGTTTTACGAGTGAGTTGAGCCTGTGAGATCCGTTGACTTGTGAGGAGATAGCGTTCAGAATATTCCCAGACATCGAAAAGGGGCTTCATGGCATCATTCCACTCAACCATAAGAACATATTATTATAGAGAGAGTACACAATTAGACGAACGTACCGCGTAAACAATGTGACTTAAATATTCTCAAGAAAGCGGCGATTCAACCACAAACTATATGCATCATAACCATACACTATTATTTCATGTTTTTCCAGGGGGTAACATCTTGATGTAGATTTGAGTATGCATTTAGGCCCAGGTCTCTACCTCTTCATCAGGCTCCTATCATATTTCTATCATATTTGGTATGTAGGGCTAAGGCATTATTACGTTCTAGCAGTATAGTCTTGTAGCAAATAAGCCATATACGTCATTCAATCTTTATGTGTATCTGTATAAGATGTTCTCGTAGCCGGCATTGCTATTGGAGGACTATTTACTCTTAGTGCTTCCCCCGCTTTCGTGTATATACACAACCTCTATTATGCCTTGTTCTCTTATACATTTTTACATATCAGTATTACCCAGTTATAATATACTATAACAATGTCATCCGTAAAGAAAGTAGATGTTTCCCTCGTTTCCGACGAGGAAATCCCTATAGCCTTCCAAGTATTATCGAAATCTTTCGGCCACGACGCACCATTCGTAGATATATACTTTCCAAATCATGACACACCATCCGGCCAAGCGCAGGGCTCCAAGCGTTTGGCTGTGTGGAAGCAGACCTCGGAAGCTTCTACCTTTTTAAAAGCAACTACACAAGGCGGCCAGGAGGGTCAGGAGCTCATCATTGGCTTCGCAGTCTGGACACTCATGAAGGAGGCTCCACCTGCGGAGCTTGCTGAGACAGAGAATGTCGAGGAGGTATGGCCAGACGAAGCTGATCGTGAGTTCATGAAGCGCTTATGGAGCGATTATGTTATTCCACGATCGAAGGCTGTTAAGGAGTCTGACGGAAAAGGGGTGTATGGTAAGTGGTAACCATGGATAATAGTTAGCTTGTATTTCTAACGTGCTTGATGTAGTACTTGAATTACTAGCGGTGCATCCAGAATACCAGCGTTTAGGTGCGGGCGCAGCTCTTGTAGAGTGGGGGACCAAAGCGGCAGACCAGCAGGGCCTTCAGGTAACACTACCTATTATTAATCATCCTTTTATTAATATATGCACGAATAAAGTCTTGGAAGTAGAAACCCGGGATAACTATATGTATCGCGTTCTTATATCCACTAGGACACTGCTGACTCTAGTGTATAGGCCGTCGTCGAGGGTACTCCGGCAGGTCGACGACTTTATGAAAAATGCGGCCTTCGTGCAAATATTGAGGAAATGCACTTCGACTTCGGAGATGAATTCGCTGACAGAAGGAAGCCAAAGCTTACATTCATGACGCGAGAGCCTAGGAAATATGACTAGATGCTTGGAACGAAGACAATAGAGTTTGTTTCTACGTAAAATCGTAACTCCTTCAGGATCATCTTGAGATATCGTGAAGCAGTTGTTATTCACAGCTCTAGCCTTCTAATGCATAGTAAAGACGCATCGACAATTCTATTGCGTCTAGAAATGATCTAGGGTATCTACCTAAATATGTCCCCTACTACTAATCTTACAACTCACTCCTGATACCTAAAGGAATTACTATATACTATAATGTTTCCCTACTGAGACCATCCATTTACAAGGTCTTTAATCTTGTATTCTTTTCTCGTATCCAACGCACCTAGGTACCTAAACTATGTCGGGAAATTCCGACAAACGAGCATCCTTAACAAGTTCGCTCAAATGCCTCACGGTTGGGTATTTGAGTCGGACAAGCGCCGGCATAATGATTTGTCGTTAAATGTCGACTGATATGTAATCGTTAATTATTGGTACGTCGTTTATGAAGAGAGGATAAAGGGAAATACTGTGAATACTTCGTATGAATACGAATATATTCGGAGGCCTGAGTTTCCGGATGAGTGTTGAAACTCAAGTCTTCACTACCTCTTATCCACGAAGCTAACACCAAAATTTAACTCTGACGTAGATCAAGAATATAATTGGAGTGTTTGGCGGATATCGTCGTATAGAATGAGAAATGAGCCCCTGGTGATATACAATTATTGAAGACTTGAGACATGTCCAACTCGAGCCGCGAGATACCAGTGTAAATCAGTCTTCATTGGATCCATCAAGCACTGGTGCTGAAGTAATAATTATCCCATAGGTACTCGTAATCTTCTAGTATGCCCGCAACCAGGCTAGGCATACGACGACGCACTCCACCTATAAGGCCCTTGGTGACATGCTCATAGAAAGCACCCCTCATAGTCCACCAACCGGCCGCCCAATACCTCTTACCCCATTCTTCGTTCTCTAGAGCAGTGCTGCGTAGACCCCGGTCGCGCAACTGCCGCGCTGCATATTCCATACTTAACCCGAGTATCCAAGGCGTCCAAGACTTCTTATCTTTACACCTTGACAATGCAATGGCGTATACTAAGGGGGCGAGAATGTGTAATATCTCGGCAGTCTGGCCGGAGCCAGATAGCGTGTTTAGAAGCTTTGCTGCAGGTTTGATATCGTCTGCTGTTAAAACCCGGCTCATCAAATAAGAGCTGATATCTCCAGGATTTGGTAAACTTGGAAGACTGGCGCCGGTTCGTGGCATCGTCCATTCTTTCTCGTGGGCACTCTTGGCAGATTCATCCATGTCCACGGAGGATGTATCTTCACCCATTAGCTCCTTTAGCGCCGCATCATCGTTTTCGTCCATTTCTGGGGTAACTGGGTCTCGTTCTGGTAGTGCTGGTGTAACGAGCGGTCTTGAATTGGTGACTCTCATTAATAACAGGCGACAGAAGGCCTTAATAATCTCCAAAAGGATGATAACACGCCAACGAACTTTCTCCCCCTTGCGTTTGGCAGCCATCTCCCATAATAATTCGGTATACTGAACGATTTGTAGCAACAGGGCTATTCTCCGATATAACCTACTCTTTCCCGTCCAAAATCTAGTGTAGCGGGTATGTGGGCTTGGTATTTTGGAAGCCAGGGCGGGGATTTTCGTTACAGCGCCTCGGAGGACAGCATCGTGATAGAGGGATAGTAGTTGGATACCTGAGTGTAAGGTCTCCGAGGCGATCTCAGCGTCACGAAATCGACCGGGTATAATATACGTCAGGGATCGTAATGCGCTCTCGATCTGGGATACTTGATGGGCGTTCTTCGTGATGAAGTCGCCATAGATATTCAGCCATTGCGGAGGTGTCGAGAACTTGCTCTGGGTCGGTTTCTGAGGTTTACCGGGTGGTCGTGATGCGCCACCTTTGAAATGATCAATAGACCGCGACATGATTGGGGGTATATTATTACAATGTATAGATTGGGTAAGATTTAAATTAAGACATGGAAAAAGTAAGGAAGAAGGAAGAAAAAGACGAATAAATCAATGTGTAGTTCGCGACTGCACAATTGATTGGATTATGGTTGTAATTGTGATGTCGTAATTGTGATAAGAGAGAGGTAGTTGTAGTTGTGGGAAGGGCGAAAGCAACTATGAGCTGTTCGACCACATTTAATTGTTAGGCTCCATCGCGTCGTTACTTCCTACGCTTTTGTCATTACCTCTCCGCCTTGCAGTTAGTTGCCTCGGTTCGGCGCAGCTTCTGAATTTCAGCTGGGGAAGTACATTAGGTAAGCTCAAACCAGTCTGTTATCTGTTAGGTTAGTGCACTTGGGTCTCCCAGCGCTTACCTAATGTGGTACCATTACCTAGGTACGCGTTAAGGCAGTACAGCGCTTGTATCTGACATCTTTACAAGATTAATTCATAATCCTGAATTTCGAAGAAATAATCTATGAATCGTGATAGGCAGATTCTTCCTACTTAGAGACTGAAAGTGGTTCTCTCTAAGCTCTAAGTTTTAATTATGAGACATACAGCTGTCCTAGGTATTGCTTCCATCCGTCTCCCTTCCCAACATAACCAATATACATATCCGGCCTTACTACCACAGTGAAGTTATCCTGGGTAGTAACAACATCTGAAGAGAATATTCGCGCTTCATCTTGGGAACCATTACTATGACCATTTACTTGAGTCTGTGCCGAATCGCCGGCGCGTAGGATGAGATACGTGCAGATGTCTCTGAATGACTGAAGATCCCCAGACTCTCCTACGAATAGGACCAGATACTTCCCGTATGAGGTGATCGAATACAGGCGTATCGCCTCATTGGTTCCAACGTCGACGAGCTGGATATCTGGACATCTTTTACCTGCCTTCCATATATTTTGTTCGGAGTCTTCGATTAATTCGGATCCAGTTCCATCATACGAGACGCCCATTCCTATTTTAATCTTAGCACATTTCTACCATTGGGGAAGACTTTACGATTATCCTTACCAGTGATATATCCTGCATTCTTCTCAATCGTAGAAACATACTGTTTTGCAGTATGGTTCGTGTCTCGGACTAAAGTCGCTGCAACATCAATAACTTCCTGAGCTACTGCACGACGCTCAGTATCATAGCTGCGTATCAATTTTACCGCGGCACCAGAGGTCAAATTGGAATTCTTGATTGCAGCTGCGAGACGCCAACCAAGGCTAAAAGCATCTGCAATACCAGTGTTTAGACCTTGGCCACCGTTTACCGAGTGAACATGAGCTGCATCCCCTGCTAAGATAATACGGCCCGTTCCTTGATTTGAGACAAACGTGGAAGCGATACGTTCTTTGACTAAATATCAAGGGAGGCCATTAGTGCGTTATTCTCGACCATGTTTAGCATTACAAAGGGAAATAGAATTGCTTATGGTGAATCCGCCTACCATCGAAAGTTGAAAACCACTCCGTTTTAACGAAGTCAATCCTGTGCGGCGCCATATGTTCCCTAATCGAGTCTTCCGCCCTCTTCTGCGTGATGTCTCCATCGAGAAGGACGTAAAACCTCGCCATGCCTCGTTCCCGAGGAATCCACGATACCCGAGATTGACCCCTGAGTTGGAAAGTAATGATTTCTGAGCATAGAGGGAAGTCAGTATCGATGAACGTGTCAAGCACAGCCCACACCATCTCAGGCTTCGTTCCGGTGAAATTGATATCCAGCGCTTGGCGGACCGTTGAGCGTGCACCGTCGGCGGCAATTGCATATTTACTATGGACTTTACGTCCGTGGTCCGTATTTAGTGTGACACCATCTTTAGTCTCGGATATAGAGACGACTTTTTCCTGGTAGCATACAGGTATGTCTAGGTCATCCTTAAGCACTTGTTCTACGACAGACTGGCCGATCATCAAAAAATTGGGATGAGCACAATGTTCAAGTGACGTCCACCAATAGCTCTGGCGAGATTTGAAGTCACCCTCTGAGAATGTCGAGCTAGCTATACACCGTGAGTTATAAAAACCCATCAAGAATTGATCCAACTTACTATTGCACTTGATTCCAAGCGGGAGTAGTCTATTTAGGACCCCCACTACCTCGAGGTATTGCTGTGTGCGTGCATTCAGGGCATCTGCTCGGCCTACCTCCAAGGGTCCAGATTTACCGTCTAGGATATCATCAGAAAACGAAAGAGACTAATTGTTATAGAATTTTTGCACACCTATAATTCTTACGGACAGGCCTAGGCGAGTTGCGAGAAGCGCGGAGAGAAGTCCGGTAGGGCCACCTTATTCCAACATCAGCTCTCGGGTACGCAGCGAGAAAAGTTAAACTTGGTAACAAACCTCCAATAATTGCCAAGTCAACATCTTCCTCAGGCCATAAGTTCGTTTCATTTTCTGCCATGGTTGGAATATTAGAATGGCGTCTTAACGGCTTGGGAGATCGTTCCGACATTGTGAGGGAATGATGAATCTTAATGAGGCAACTATCGGGGATAACGTGGGATTAAAAGAAGTCTGAATTGGAAATATTCTAAATTGGGAAAATTACAAACAGGAGGGCACCTTCAGGATGCTACAATAACCCGAATTTACTGCTACTACATACACGGCTGGACACTTGAATAATCTCGATCTCAGCACCCTAATACCCTAGTACCCTCAACATCCTTGACACCTCGAGAGCAAAAAGATGCATATTTCAAGAAAAATATAAAAGTGGAGAATTGGAAGGACATACGATGCGTCTAATAAAATGCTTTAAAAGGCTATGTACAAAGGAACTTCCTATTTTGAAAAAGCTAGCCTGAGATAATAGCCCTCATAAGTTCGGACTTACAAGCTATATTCAAGCATGTACACCGAAGAGGTGTCGCTGCCAAGTCTGACCTTTTTTTCATTGTGTCAGCCTCTAAACAACGAACGTCTAGGTTATCAAGGAAAAAGCGTCTCACCGACGGGCCTGCCCGCATGAACCCCCTATACTTCAAGGTCAATACTGTCGCTCTCTTGATTCGGGACTCGGTATGCCTGTTTCATTTACGGTGTATTCATGCATTTCTGCGGAGACAGTACGAGGTAAAACTACTCTATAGCCCGGATTCAACTTATTGAACATCCTCTTTAGGAAGGAGGGTGAACTTCTCGGTTCTACAAAGAGCTTTACGAAGCGTAGTCTAGGCTCGGGGAATATCACATGCACATATGATGGCGTGGGAATCTGTGAATAATGCGAAAGCACCACGCTGGCCAACGTTATATTGAAGCAAAATTTCTTGAACACTGGTTCGCTTTAGCCGTGTTGCCGGAAGAACACACTATAGAGTAGCACCGGCTATTGGCCTGCTATAAAGCTTAGTTCGTTAATTTGCAACGTTGTGGTATCGCCAAGTCGGCTCTTCCTCTAATAGTTGTACCAGGGGGATAAAGAACTGATCGTATCGCCACCGAGATCTGTGGATGCCTCGGAGTTCGAGCCCCAATGTATCTATCATATGTATCATGCAATGGGTCTGCATTCTCCTGCAAAGATAGACTTAAATTCATAAGTTCGACCGTATCTGACCATCAACATGTTGTTCAATCCTACTCTCAATATGCCGTCTGTTTTGAAGTTCGACACTGCCGATGACTTGGCATTTCCGACAGCTCTGGCTGATAAGCTGGGAGATATAGAACCCTCCCATCTTGAAACTGCTTCGCGTATCTTAAATGTTATCTCTCGATATAAGCTTGCAGGTGATGCGTTCTTAGCTAAGAGCCACGATGGAGTCAACTTTCTGGCCCAGATCTACTCTAAGGTTGTGGCCAGTCAGATCATCCTCATGTGTCTCCCTGCTTTCCCCTTCAAGTCTCCAAACAGAAGCACCAAAGTACTTGGACGTCTCCCTGACAAGGCAGAAGAATTTGCTCTCGCACATCTTAACGGCCTATGCGCTGCCATAGGTGATATCTACGCACCAGGCGCAAGGCTAATGATTGTTTCGGATGGGCTTGTTTACAACGGTAACTAACCCCTACGATACTTATATTTGCTAATTAATACTAATAAATGTGAAGACCTCCTAGGAGTACCAGATAAGGACGTCTGGGCATATGGTGAAGCTCTTCGAGCATTAAGGGCGAAAAAGGGGTTCCGCTATATTGAGTTCTGCCGTCTTAAAGACATTGTAAACGTAGACGTGCCCAACGAGTTGGATGAAATAAGATGTAAGCAGAATTTCTACGTCCATCCGTATATACTAGAAGTTGAAATCATTTTCAACATTACATTATTCTCCCTTTATCCACAGGCAGATGCTGACGCCGACAACTTAGACGTCGCTAACGCCACCAACTTCCGTCACGCCCTACTACAGCAGTTCAGCAAGCCCGGATATAATGTATCTCTCAGAATATCAGAGGACGAGGACACCTGCTTAACGTATAGGGGGTATATCAAATTCCTAGAGACCGACCTTCAGAATGTGTACCCGGTTGGTGAAGGACGGAGTAAGTCAAAATACAAAAGGGGTGTCGAGTATATTGCCAAGCAGATGCTCACCCGAGGAGATGTAAGCTCCCTCCTTTTCCTTTTCCTTTCCTACCCCCAAGACGCATTCGACCACTGGGTAGCTAAGTAGAGAACAAAGCCACGTAAATCACTGACGTCACCATGTAGGCCTTTGCTCGAGCTGTGCGTAAAAGGTTCCCCGATCGGCTAAGACTCTCGATACATGCCTCAACTGGAGGGCACCCCAGAGGGCTGCCACAATAGCCCGAGTTTACAGAAGTTATATAATTAAATATTTTGAATATTTTGAAAGAGGACTCGGCACCCAAGAAAAGGGCTCGGCACCCTGACCTCGATACCCTCACCCACCCAAAAGGAAGACTCGGCACCCAAGAGAAGGGCTCGGCACCCTGACCTCGATATACTCACCCTTGATACCCTCACCCACGGCTCGGCACCCAGGGATTCGGAAGCAAAAAGATACGTATTTTAAGAAAAAGATGAAAGTGGGGACATTGGAAAATTCCACTTATTTTAGGGATGCACCCAATAAAAATGCCTAAAATTCGCGCACAGACGAACTTCCTACTTCGTAAACCAGACCCTAAGACAATATCCCTCGTAAACTCGGGCACGGGGGAAAGCAAACTCTCTATCAATCTATTGCCTACAGATACGGCTTTCACAACTCCTTGGCATTGCAGCATCGCATTCAAGCTCGACGGTACTACCATTACTGGCCACAGGGCCGAATTCGATGCTAACGATTCTTTCGAGCTTGTTTACGAAGATAACCGACCTAGCTACTTTCGAGAAAAGAGTGACTTGTTGTCATGGGCTACCGATAAAGGCGGTATCACCTGCGAGCCGCTATATCCCGCCGGAGTCTTAATCCGGCCGGCAGCAGGACGAGGCGCCCTATCCATAAGGGATGTGGACGGCCCTAAGGTACGCGCCCTGGCACAGCGCAACTCTCCCGTCATACTTCGTGGTTTTTCACATACTAGAAGCCGAGATCTTTTCGTAAATAAATCAGGGGATCTTGGAAAGCCGACAGGATGGAAGTTTGGTCTCGTCCTTGAAGTCAAGGATCGTGGGGCGGATACACGCGGCTTAAATAATGTTCTATCGGCTGAATGGATGCCTTTCCATTACGATGGACTTTTCAAGACGGAGAAGAGAGTACGGGATGATGGGAGTGAGGTATTGGTATCTACGCCACCAGGGTAAGTTCTTACACCTGCCTGTTCTAGCTCTCTTTATTTAGCTAACTCGGTCAACTAGGTTTCAGTTTTTCACTGCTGTAACAGAGTCGCCTAAGGACACAGGTTTTACGCTCTTCTCATCGTCAACACTACTGTTCAAATATCTCCCTACACATCTACCCCTATCCTCGCTACGTCCTCTTACCTGGACCGTGTCGACATCCTCCTTCAATTCCACCGTCATCCATGGCCTACCCCTGGTAATAGATCATCCAGTCACAGGCCGTCCCTGTCTACGCTACCACGAGCCGTGGCCCCAATCCAAGACGCGATTTGAAGCGACGAATATCACGATTGAAAATGCCTCCGACCATGGCCTAGATGCCGCGGACGTTAGCGCTGCGCTTGTTAGCTTGCTGCATGATCGCCGTGTTGCGTACTACCACTCGTGGGATAAGGGCGACTTGCTCGTGAATGATAATGTGCTCACGATGCACACGCGGAGCGACTTCACGGCGGGATGTGATCGCGAACTATGGAGGATAAATTTTGACTAGTTTATTTAATTTTGATTCCCTGGCCCTGAGTATTCGTGCGGGATGCATCTCTAGTTTGGTAGGGTATTCTCTACTATGGGAATATCGGAAAGATGGTGTATGTTAGTTCGTTTGCCATATGATAAGCCCAGTCGAGATTCTCGTCACGTTATAATACTAACCCTAACCCTTACCCTTACCTACCATTGACGAAGATATTTTCGTATAAATAGCCCTTAAGCTAGATATTCTGTTAGAAGTCCTTATACTATACTTCTAGTATAGCGATATTTACACTTACAACCCCATAATTATCATTTCATTTAAGGAACCGTTTTTGTCATTAATTTCTGTGTAGAATTCGGGGCCTAACATCTCCATGGTCAGGTAAGCATAACCTTGCTTAACCGACTGACCATCATGCCCGATATAAGAATTACGATCTAGTTGCTATCTGCACGTTGTCTTCCTGCTTCACCCTTTCGCGATTTTCCTTGGTAAATAGCTTCCTCGTCAACTTAAGAGAGCGTACCACTCAGACTTTCTTTCTCAAGTCTACTTTATTGCCAACCTTTCTTAGAGGCGATGAAATCATCCATCCCTTTAAGAGGCGCAATATTATCTAACCTTCATCGTTATCTCGAATGATTCTAATTGAGGAAACAGGCGAGGGTGGCTTGGGTCGACTTTGTCAGTATATCTTTCGATGCCTCTTAGTAAAAGGCGATCCATTCCGTCCCACCACCTATTTTGTGGAGGACCTATCCGAAATGGGTTGTAACGGTGGATTGAAACTTCAAAATGCTTGATATTCGGCAACGAAGCGGTCAAATCCCGAAGAGGGCATACCCACCAGTCCATGTTGCACCAAAATATTTGGCTTGAATCGATATATCGTATATCGAGATGCTGGACTCTTTCTAATAGTTCTTTTCCAAGTAGCGTGAGGTGAGCATGAGTGTTGGTAGGATGTAATTTGTTATAGTAACAGAGTAATCCGTAAGGCATGACTGATTCCTGGTGAAGTCTTCGTAGGAATCTGGCATCAACACGCTTTGCTATTGACGCTATTGGCTGAAGTGGCGAGCCCCTACAGAAGTGGTCTACACCTAAGATGACCAACTTGTCGATAGCCGGGCTGAAAGGGAGTGAATCCTCACGAGGTTCGCCGTAATATTTAATAGCCAAGCTACGGAATTGCCGAGAGATTTGAAACAGGCTCATTGATGCCCATGTACGTGGGTTGTGGATTATCATGTCTGTAAAATTTGTAGACTCGTCGTCGTCGTTGTTGTCGTTAGACTCAAATTTAGTCAGGCAAACCTTCAGTTCGTACGGCTCCATCATTAAATCAAATATATCAAGGAAAAGCTCTCTTGGCAGTGACATTAGATCAAATCGAATGCTGGTGTTCGACCCCCGTACTGTTTCTTGCAAGGGAAGGTCCCATATGTCTGACATACTTGCGTCCGGGAAACCCCGCGCACGTCTGAAGATTGGTTCTACCTTATCAACAATTTCGGGCCAAGGGACTGGATTCTTCGGGTCGATTGGGATTTTGAGATTCTGAGGCTTGTAATATTTTTTCTCAATATCGGGGGCCATAGTTGACATAGTGGCTCGGATGTGACAATTTGTTTTAGGCGGTTTCTGAATGATAGATAGACAGAAAGATTTTGTGTTAAGGAAGGACACAATCTCCTAGAGTTAGATAGAATAGGAACACGGCTGTTACTGCAGGAGAAAATATGATTTAAAGCAAGCCACCTATTTAAAAATATGAAGAAATGGTGTCGTTTTCGATACTGTAGTCACCTACCCACCTAAGGTAACAGTATGGATTGTACATACAGAGGTACGTTAACACACCTGAATCATTGAATAACTCGAGAAGCGGTCCAGCCTTGAGTACAGCCATATTGTCAGGAGACATCTAGAACAAAAGACATGTTCAGTACCTAGGTGCCTAGGTACCTAATGTATAGGCGTAGACCCTTGTGGTTAGTTTAGAGTTCCTGGCGGAACAACGAAGCTGTTTAGATACTGTTTGGCTCCACCTCGTGACCCATGTGTCAATAGGAGTACTTGATAGATCACTTGTTTTCGGTATCTTTCTGTGTTTGTTTAGAAAAAGAATCATAACCAATCATTGGCACACAATCATCCCCCCAATATAACAAGGTCTTAATAAGGCTTAGAATAAATTCAATATACTAATAATTTTCTAAGATTTTAAGGTTTATAAAGATCCTTAATTTAATCTGGGAAATTTTAACTTATTTATAAACAATCTTAGAAAATATATCTTTATATTTAATCTTTTTATATTAATATATTGGTTTTATAATATAATTTACTTATATTATTTTATAATATATTTTATTTAATAATTATAAAAATAATTATTTTAACTATTTAATTGGTTTTTAACTGTTTTATATTTTAATTAATAATCTTTAATTATATTATTTATGTGATATTATTTCCTTTTTTTTTAATATATTTATTTTTAAGTTATTAAAATTAAATTTATAATAAAAAATTTATACTTTTTAATAAGGTTTAAAGATTTATAAGTTTATTTAAATTTTATTAATAAAATATAATAATTATTTATTTTATATTTTTACTTTTAAAATATTTATAAAGTTTTTAAATTTAATATTTTTTAATTAACTATTTATTTTATTTAATTAAATATTTTATATTTTTTTAGGTTTATATGGAATTTTTAATCTTATTTATTTTATAATTTTTAAATTTTATCGAGGTTGTTTTTTATAAGATTTAATTAATATTAAATAAAGTTTAATTATTAATGCAATAAGGTTTAATAAATGAAATATAAAAAGAATTATAAATCTTTTATTTTTTAAATAATTAAAATTTAATAACGGTAAAAAATATTATTTTTTAGATTTTAAAAAAACTAAATATTTTTTTATTTAATTTTTTAGTTAATTATTTAATTTTGATATTTTTTATATTTAATATTATTAATTATTTTTTTTTAAATATTAGGACTTTTTTCTTTTTTTTATTTACTTATTCTTTTATTTATTATCAATTCTTTTTTAAATATACCTGTATATTTATATAAACTTATTTTATTTAATATATATATAAATAATTATTTAAATTTTTAAAAAAGTTTATTAAAAAGTTGTAAATAATAAAATAAAAACCATAATTTATATAAAATAACATTATATATATTAAAAATAATATAATATTATTATATATAAATTTTATTATAAGTAATAAGTTTTTTTAATTAATTATTTTATAATTAATAAATATTTAATTAAATTAAATTATTTAATTATTAATTTAGAAATAAAAAGTAATATTTATTTATAATTTAATATTAATAAATTTAAAAAATTTTTATTATAAATAGGTAATAAATTTAAAATTTTAATTAAAAATAATATTTAAAAAAACTTTATATAATTTTTAATAAAATTTAATAAAGATTTTAATTAAATTAAAGATTTTTTTCTTTTTTATTTTAAAAAATATAAAATATACTATTTTAATAAAAAAATTAATTATAATTTAAATAAAATTATAATTATTTAATAAAAAGAAATTAATAATAAAATTTATAATAATAATATATTATAATTAATAATATAATTCTATAAATTAAAATAAATTATAAAGTATATATTTATTAATTTTATTATATTAATATTTAAAATATTTTTATATATATTCTTTTATTATAACTTTAATATTTAACCATCAAAAATTTTATATAATAAATTTTAAAATTTTATTTATTTTTATATATTTTATTATTAATATATTATATTTTAATTTTACAATATTTTTTTAAATATTTTAAAATATTTAAAATTAATTTTTTTTATATAAAAATTTTTCTTTTAATTTAAAATCTTTTCTAAAATTCTTTTTTTTATCCATATATAAAAAATTATTTCTTATCTTTATTTTAATTTTTTTTATAAATTTAGATAATTATTATAAAATTAAAAAATTATTTAATTGTTTAAAAATAAAAATTATCGCAATTAAATATATTATTTTAGGTTTTAAAAAATATAAAAAATACTTTTTTTATAAAATTATTATAATTAATTAATTTTTAATTCTTTTTTTCTTAAATTAATATTAAATTAATTTAAATAAAATATTAACTTTTTTATTTTACCGTCTTAAACAATAATTAATAATAAATTAATATAATAATAATTTTTATATTTATTAAATTTATTTTTTATTTAATACCTTTATAATAATAAAATAAATAAAATTTTAATAATTAAAATATATTTTAATATAATATTAAATTCTTTTTAAATAATAACTTTATTTTTAAAAATAATTAATTATTATTAATAATTTTTTATTATATATTTTATAATTTATTTTTATTAATATTAATTTTTATAAATAAAAAATTATAAGATATAATTTTTTATTATTTTCCATTTATAAAATAATTCTAATAATAATTTAATTTAAAATATTAATTTTAATAAAAACTTTTTTTTTTAAATTAAAATAAATTAAAATAAATTAAAATAAATTAAAATAAAAATAATAATATATTTTTTTTTAATTTTTTAAAAACTACCTTTATTTCTTTTATTTATTTCTAATCTTTTTTATTTTTTTTATTAACTTTTATAATTAAATTAATTATTTTTAAATATTTATAAATAAATTTTTTATAAACATTTAAAAAGTTTATAAATTATTATAATTTTTTAAAATTAATTAAAATTTCTTAATTAATAATATATTTAATTTTATTAAAAAATATAAAAATATTATTTATATTTATAATATAATTTAAAAATTTTACTTTTTTAATTATTTATTTATATTTTTATATTATTATTATTAAATTATAAATTATAAATTTTTTAAATATTTTTTTTAATAATTTTATTATATTTTTTTTTAATATTAATATAAATAAATAAATTATTAATATATATTAAAGAATTATTATTAATTATATTTTTAAAAATATTATTTATTATAATTTA